AAAGAAGACGATTCGTTGTACCTTTCTCGACTCTTAATCCTTGTCTAAATTCAGTTTCTTTTGACGTTTCATTAAAGTATTAGAGAAAGAAGACGATTCGTTGTACCGTTTTCGACTCTTAATCCGTATCTGAATTCAGTTCCTCCTCCCCCCCCCCCCTCCCCCCTCTCTCGCGCGAAGCGCGGAAGCTTGGACATTTCATTCAATTATTAGAGAAAGAAGACGATTCGTTGTACCGTTCTCGATAGTCCTTTTTCTTCCTACGTCCTCTTCCTTTCTTTTTTCTCTTTTTTTTTTGCCAGCGTTTTTTTTTCTCTTCTCTCTCTTTTCTCTCTCTCTCTGCCTATATATCTCTCTCGCACATGTTTTCTCTTATCCCTCTCTTTCTCTCTATCTCTTTCTTTTTCGTTTTCTATCCCTCTATCATCAAATAAAAATGTCAAAGAATTTTCATGATTTTGTGAAATTCAGCTTGTCAAAAATATCTATCAACAATGACATTAGTCTGCATTAATGACTTGAAATGACCAGATGTTTTGTTTATATGTGTGTTTTTTCTTCCTTCAATATCAGGGACCTTTAGATTTGCACGACGAGAATGTGGACTGCTATGTTTGTTTGTTTGTTTGTTTGTTTTATTTATTCACCATGTAAAATAACTGTTTACAGATAACAAAATACAGTAGGTTACATTAAGATATAATACATAGTAGGAACAATGCATGAACAAAAATGTTTGAATCACAACGTCCTAAGATAAAATAGTTAATACTTATTAGGAAAAGATAGAACATGGCTTAAAATAAGACATTTTTGTCGTTACAAAATAAAACAAAATACAAAAATCATGCCCCCTTAACGTATTTGAATAACGAGCAAAAACAAGGAAATACACAATATCTCTTCTTGACACAACTAGCACTATACAAAATTTACCTCAAAAGTTAACAAGAATATTTTAAGAGAAATAATTCCTTCATTTTCTTTTTAAATAACAAAAGGTTGTTACAAGCTCGTATTTCAGGTGGCAAAGCGTTCCAAATATCAGGACCTATTATGTGTGACATCCTTTTAAGGCAATATGACGTCCTTTTAAGCCACTGCCGGGCACTGCCAATGCCTTAAAAGGACGCCACATTGCCTTAAAAGGATGTCACACGTGGCAGTCCACGTTCTCGTCGTGCAAATCTAAAAGTCTCTAATGTTTTAATTGCAAGCTTACTTTTCATTAAATTTTTCTGGACCCTTAGAAATATTGACAAAGCTGAGTGGGTTATCCAGCCATTCAATATATTCTTGATTTTAAATGTACTTTTCTATTTTGTTTGTATTGAAGTTTTTTTATATCGTAATTTGGAAAATAAATACCTTTACTTACCATACCATATTTTTTAATATCCAAAGGTACAAAAGCAACCGTCGGTTTTGGAATGGGAGACGGAGGAGGACGCCCTCTATACCATTCTCTTCACAGATCCCGATTCGCCTACTCGAACCGATCCGAACCGAGTCGAGGTCGTTCATTGGCTGGTTTTCAATATACCTGGTTGTGACGTCAGCAAGGGACTTGTCCACGCTGCTTACATTGAATCAGGTCCCAGGGAGGGATCAGGTAAATACATGTATGGCGGATCGAGGGGGCACATGCAATCATTCTATAAGTTAATATGCTTGATGAATGAACTTGAATTATGTTATTTTATTTTACCGTTACATGCCGTACATGATTGTTATTTTCTTCATGCCACAACGTTCAACATACATGCAATCATTCTATTAGTTATTATGCTTGATGGATGGACTTGAATTATGTTATGTTATTTTACCGTTACTTCTTAAATATATTTATATGTAACACCAGTGGATGTGGAGAACCTCATAACATAATGGAAATTCTTTTAGGTTAATCCTCAGGCGTCCGCTGGTGGCATTTTCACCGTCTTGTAACTCTTAATGTTATATGCTCTGTGTTGTCATTTCTATTTTGTTTATACATGTACCTGGAAATCAAATAAATTTCAAATTAAAATTTCAAATGGGGGCTGGGGCACGTGCTCCTTTAAAAAAAAAAAAAAAAAAAACTAAAAGGGCCGAGGGCTTATTATTTTCCAGGTGCATTATAAATCACGTTAGATTTAATATCTTTTAGGATTCTGATTTTTAAATTGTTCTGAAATACATTTCTTTAAAACCATATGAAATGAAATATTTTGTAGCATTGTTGTAATAATATTAAAACGGTCCCAAAAGTAATACGACACACGTACCTTCATTCTACAAATATCTTGATTTAGGAATGCTAGCTCTCCTTAAAACAAACGCGATCGCAGAGACTTTTGAGAAATCAACCGAAGTGCAATTTCATGGCCCTAATATTGCATTATAATATTCCAGCTGTTCACTAGGTGCTGGAGGCAAAACTGTTGAAATTGTCTTAAAGATAAAGACCAGGTATGGTCATGCGATTGCGATTGCATTGTGAAAGAAACGTTGTGGAATCGATCAGAAAAGGTTGATCATCTAGCATATAAGTATTGGTGTGTACTGCCAGGTTCTGGAATTAACAAAATGATAAGAAATTTGGCCCAGTCTTGGTTAAGTTACAAGCACTGTACACAGAAAGATGTATATGGGACTACGCACACGTGCGCGACACGTGCGTTTATCTCTCACAGTCCAATATATAAACTAATTTACCAAATATATCAATTAGTAGGCGGTTTCCTGGCAAAATTGTTATTATCATGTATTAGTCAAAACATATTCTTTCACATGATTGGTAATAAAAAGCTTCCATTTCATTTTTTGAAATTGGGGCGTTTCCAAAACTGGTCTTTACCCTTAAGTTGATTTTCCGAAAGTCTTTGCGATCGTGTTAAACTGGCAGAGCCCCACCTACCCCCCCCCCCCCCCCCCCCCCAAGGAGATATATTTGAACTCCTTGACAGGAATAGTTCTAGAGGGGGAAGGAAATGGGTTCAAGCTCCCCGGCCCCCCTAAAAGAAGAAGAAATAATGATAAGAATAATTTAGACAAATAAATAAAATAAAAAACTACTTTTACAAGCGCCCCCTTTTCTCTTGATTACAGAAAGATTTATGTAAATGTAACCCGAAGCCCCCAAGAAAAACTTCTATAATCCTGCCTTCTCCTTCTTCGATTCTTCTCCAGGATTCCATAGGTACGTTTACCTCGTCTACAAGCAGTCTCAACCCATCACCCCTAATGATTCCTACCGCCCCCGTAGCCCTGAGAGACGCAAGCCCTGGAACACGAGAAAATTCGTCGAGGAGTACGGCCTAGGGGCGCCCATCGCGGGCAACTTTTACATTGCTCAGTTTGACAATTATGTGACCCAGTTCAGAGCGGAGATGATGGCTGCTGGATCAAAGTAAAGCGTGTTCTCTCAAAATGTTTGTGTACAACATTTTGAAGGGTCATGTACTTTGACAAGTTTTCTTGAAAAGTCTGAAGTTGACGAAATCATAATTTTGTAGACTTCCATAGAAAGAGTTCGGCAGAAGGACTGTGTTGTTTTGGATGTGTGTTGTGGGGGGGGGGGGGTGGGCATTATCAAGACGACTGCTTGTAACACTCAAAGGCAGAGTATTCTACTGACACTATATCAGATTTAAATATACTGCCATCTGTTGCTCACATTGTCTGCTGTGTCCACAATGCCTCACCAATGGCATGACGCATGGGTACAGGAATCAGAAATCACTCTATGTACGCCTTAAAGGCCCACTGCACTGCTGGTAGCTACTTGCGCCCTCTATATAACAAACAATGCCTAATCGGTGACCATTGGTCCCCCATAATCCTCTTTTTCTTATGTTAACTGAGAGCTGAGTTGATGAGATAACCACCTGTCCAGTGACCTTGTAGAGCGGTTTAATCCCTCCTGTAAACTACGGCAGATAAGCTTTAACCAAAAGATGGTGCAATTGAAATACATTACAGTAGTGGTTGCGATGTCGGTAAAATATACGGTCTATACCAGGGTTTTGTTTTGTTTTGTTTTGTGTTGGCATAAGATATTATTTAGAGCGTATCTTTTCGAAATTGTGTACACACAGGGTGATGGGATTTTGTTGTTGTTGGGGGAGGGGGGGGGGGGGGGGGGTTCTGTATTTTGTGTCTTGTACCATCGAAATTTGAATTTGTCAACTTAAAGGGGAAGTACACCCCTGATGACAAATTTATCTTAATACAAAGAGAAAAATAAGAAGAACAGATCAGTGAAGGTTTGAGAAAAATCGGACAATAAATAAGAAAGTTATGGATTTTTAAAATCCATGACTTTTCATGAAGTACTTCAAATCTGCGAGTCAAATTGGCAATGCGTTCTCTAAATACGATGTCACCCCCCCCCCCCCACATTTTATCGTTTGTTGAATGCAAGAAATGCCAGTAAACTATTTTGATCAAAAGGTATATTTTCTTCATGCCTATCTCGATCATAATTACCACGGATAACATGTTCTTTCATGCACCCCATATAAGATTAGTCTTCTATTTCAGAGAAATTGAGATTTGGGGTCATTCAAAATCAGTGGTGAATTGTGAGGGGATGACATCACAATTTTTGACCGCATTGCGAATTTGTCTCAAAGATTCCATGATTTTCATGAGTTTGAAGGATTCATAATTTTCTCATTTGTTGTCCGATTTTCTCAAACTTTCACTGCATTGTTTCTCTAATTTTTCTGCTTCTATTAAAACCAATTTAATATCAGAGTGGACTTCCCCTTTGAGCAATATTGTTTGTATCTTCCGTCTGGAAACTGAAACAAATAAATTACTCAGAAATCATGTTTGTCATAGTTATTATTATTATTTGACGTTAAAGTATAATCCGTATACATTTACAGTTTCTTCTTTCAAGTGGGAGTTTCAAGCCAGTTGAGTATATACGCAAACAAATTTGTGCCCCAATATATTTTTTTTTAGAAGAAATAGTATTATTTTTTATTTTTTCACTTTTGCCTGCCAGAGATAAATGAAATATACACGACTAGATGATTGAACATTTTATTTTATTTTCTGTCGTTTTTCAAAATTTGTGCTCCTCCGCTCGTGAATACTGAATTATCTTGTATGTATATCTTGAGTAATGTTGTGTCACTATGATTAATTATCTAGCTCTCGGTACGCTTCCCGATCACCTGACCATAGGTGTCACGTGTTCGATACGTGATGCCCACCGAGTAACCAATACATCAAGTGATATCACTCGTGTCCTACGCCTGTAATCAGGGTCGGATTCAGGGGGATGAGGGCGCACGCCCCATTTTTACCTTCACAAAAAAAAATCACATTAATGTTATGATCCCAATCCAATCCAGGTAGTTATAAAGCGCCAATATCTAGTCGCTTAATCAAATGTGCTGATTATGATCCCTGTTATGACTCTCCAAAAAGGGAGTGGATTTTGTAAAACTATGATGACATTTAGGTTGTTAACAAATACAAAAATAACTGATGTGTCGTCTTATATACCTCACACACATCTTGTACATTACTCTATAGGAAATTGAAGCTGTGTCCACTTTAGCTAGGCAATTCACGGAGCTCATAAAATGTACCATGACCAATTTTGCCTTTCCCTCAAACCCCAATTCCTCTTCTCTAATCTGATACCATGATTTGATATCAAAATATGTCATAAACCTAGCGTAGCGGGCTGCATTATACTAATAAAACTAATTTATATCTGATCTCGAGCGGGTTTCGTTTCACGTGAGCGCATATTCTTGATTTCCTTCCACATTCACATCTGGACTGATGTTGCAAGGAGGCGTTGACAGTTAACATCGTTTTTGTGAGAATTCAGGCGTTGAAAGTCGGGATATTCTTTTCCATGTTTAGGAACCGTATCGGATTAGCTTGATCGAGTAGGCCGAACAAAAGATCTCACAATATAAGGTAGGAATGTGTTAGCTTAATGATGTTTCTAAATATTAAAGCCAGATGATATTTCTCGCCTTTCAAAATATGCAAGTTCAAGGTAGAATCAAACTTGGCACGCAATTATTCCAATCGAAAAATTAATTACTATGGCGCCAATGGCGGAAGCATATCCGGAAATTCAGCATTGGGTGGTACTTTGTTCTCTTTATTTATTTCTATTTTTTCTCATGTTTTTCTAAAGTGTTGGGAGCCCCAAACAATGATGGCAAAAGTTTACTTAAATTGTATCATAATGTGAAAGAGGATGTTATTTAAAACAAATGAGTTTGAAGATTTTGATGAAATAATACAAAATTTAGATTTTATTCGTACAATAGAAATCCAAAACATGTATTCTTTTATCAATATTTGTCTTCAAACACATTAGGGGGGGGAGTCTTTGCAGAAGTGTGTCTTAAATGACATGCTCTTTCACATTACGATACATTAACCTCCCCCCCCCCCCTTTTGATTTTTTTTTTTTTTTTTATAAAAAAAAAAAAAAAAAAGTTATGCCCACGGCCGACCTAAAAAAGGTGACCTTACCCCCCCCCCCCAACTGAGCAAAATGTCAAATTTCCAAATTTCGAGACCAAAAAAAAAAAAAAAAAGTGTCCTCTTACCCCCCCCCCCCCCCCCCCCCCCCCGCTTATTCAGCTGAGTCGATTTTTTTTTTAGACCAAAAAAAAAAAAGTGACCCCCCCCCCCCCCCCCCGCTTATTCAGCGGCTGGCTGAGTCGTTGCGAAATTTTCGGACAGATTTATAAATGTTAAAACCCCCCCCCCCCCCCCCCCTTGAAAAAATCCTGCGTACGCGCCTGCGTGTGTGGGTGTGTGTTTTCGACATAGAGAGGAGGCAGGAACGTGTCAGTTAATATAAATAACACCCCCACACCGCCATACAAACACAAGGTATATTTCACACTACACAATAATATCGTACAGTTTAGAAATTCTGTGTTTGTATTGACAACATTTTGTAGTTCAGTTATTTGTTCTCACTACTATAGTTTGATGCTTGAATGTAAATAAACACAAACAAATTACAATAAACAATAATAATTATTTCCTACAAAAATCGATCATTCTCGATCATTTTTAGACTGGAAGCTTCTTGTACAATGTCAGCTCACATGACCAGAAGTATTAAAGCGGAAATATAAAAGCTAGAGAGCAACCATTCAAGCACTGGTGATTGAAAGTAGGGGAGGGGACCACATCCGACCCGTCACCCCCTCGAAAACCAAGTGGCATATACCTTAAAGGTATAATACAAAGTTTTTGTATGGGGTCATGAATTTGGTTCAAATGAACATACTGGAAGCATGCGATTTTATAGCTCCCTCTCAAGACTGATATTACTTCACCTTAAGCTTTAAAACAGTGTTGCTGTTCTTACTACAATTGACCGATTTGCTATTCCCGTTTGGAAATTATATATCAGAACTGCATATTCTAAGATTTTCATGGTCGCAGCTACCATGGAATGGCCTTATCGAAAGCAGAAGTGTTTTAGGGGCTAAATTTTCTAGTGCTTATAATCATAATACATTCACAGGGGCATCCAAATATATCAAAATTTTGATCAAATTTTCAAAATTTCCCAAAATGTGTAATTACCTTGTTCCGCCCCTGACTAAAGGTCATGTCATTAACATAGGCCTTATTGAATTCTTGGGATTGGTGCAAGATTATAATAACAAGCACTATCGAACATAACGAGGAAAAGAATGGGTCCCGACTGATAAATTAAAGACTCCATTTTCTTTTCAAAGACACGCCATTTCTAAGGAAAATAATACATCAGATTGGGGGGGGGGCATTAATTAAACCAGTGATTATTTTCCTTAATTCAAACTGCCAAGCAAAAGCACGTATTTCTCGTAAATTGATAATGTATTTCAACACTGTTGACGGATCCTGGGCTGGTATGGGGCAAGTGGGCACATCCCCCGTTAAGAGGCCACTCTTGTACGTATTTCAAACAGAAATGTGCCCCCAATTTTCACCCCCGGCAATAATTTCAGAGCCCCCCCCCCTAAAAACGTTACCTGCAAATGCTATATCCCTGTGTTTGTCACACTTTTTCATTCTTTATTTTTTTTTAAAGTACTAGTGCCCCCTCCCCTGCCGAAAAGACTCATCGATCCGCAACTGGCGAACAAAGTTCACACTCCTGATGTGAATAAAAAGAAGTGTGAAAATTGAAATCAGTTGTGAGAATAAAGTTCAATGCCAACGAAAAAGACAGAATAAATAGGAAAATGTAACACTTTTTAAAAGGATCAATAGTTATTTGCAACTCACAATGGATGGTTGTTCAATGATTTGGTAATTGTTGGTGTTGCCTTAATTCACATCTAAGCCTTTATTCCACTGCTTTAAAAAAGCGATATTATGCGTGTATATTTGGAGTACTATCGGGAAATACCCACAAAGACTTTTTTGACAATATATATTCGCACTCTAATGTGATAGGCCTATTGTTTATGGGCGATTCCATGCATTGTGTTTCTAATACGACATTATGGGCCCGTATTTTGAACTCCGGCGGTAATACGGGCCACGGCCTTTTTCACGTATTTCATTAAAAATATATATATATATATATATATATTCTCTTGATATGACTATTGACCATTGAATATTGAATATTACGGTCAAGCGGAACCTAAAGCGGGGGCAAATCGAAATCAAGACCTGGACAACTGCTGCAGGCCAGCGAGCTGTCTGGAGAACAGCTGTAAAGTGAAAGAATTGGCGCTTCGCGACAGACAGCTATACTACTACCATTGAATATTGGGACTATCTGGTTTACAATAATAAGTCATACTCGCATCAAGAGACTTTTCATTCATGGGTGAAATATATGGGTATAAAATTATGTCATATATTATGTCCTACGTATTGCAGGGAATTGTTTAATAACTATATTTCTTTCAATAAACCTATTTTACGCTTTCCCCTTATTTGCTGATATGAAAAGTGACCTTGTCTGACACGCCATTCATATCAGGAACAGACGATTTCAAATATTTTTCTCACTCTGTATTGATTCTCATATACTGGTTTCAGTAGCGTAGCGTGGCGTATCTAGTGGGACAGGGGGTCAGGTAATCCTTATTTTCGTTGCTTTTCCCTTCTCCATCCTTCTCCTTCCCTTTCATTCTCTTCCTCTGTCTGTGTCTTTCTCTGTCTGTCTGTCTCTGTCTCTCTCTCCTTACCTCCCCCCTCTCTCTGTCTCTCTCTCTCTCTCTCTCTCTGTCTCTGTCTCTGTCTCTTTCTTTCTCTGTCTCTCTCTCTTTCTCTCTCGCCCTTCCCATCTCTATCTATCTCTCCCCTCTCTCCTCCTTCCGCTCTTTTCTAACATTGTCTTTTTCGCCTTTTTATTTATGGACTCGTGCCTCTCTTGCAACTCCCTCCCCCATCACCAGCTATATTACACTGAGTGACAGAACCAGAAGGAACATGAAGAAGGGCTGGGGCGTGGCATATATGTTATTCTCAATGCTTGTTATAATTCATATTTTAACCACAGCTCAATATACAGTCGAACTCTTCCTCAGTTGCTCAATAATTACCGTTTCATCAGTTGATTGTGTCCCAAAATTATATAAATTTACCATAGAAAACATCTGGTCACACATCAAAATGATGCCAAAACCCGGTCTATGATAAGTTAAAGTTATTTAAGTTGGCACATAATGATTCTGGCACATCCTCTACTTGTTTATGCCATCTTTCCTTGATCATTGTGAAGATATTATGTTAGAAATAGAAGAAATACAAGAATCGAAACTAATAAACCAACAAACATTGGATTCGAGAATATCAGTGACGAAGTCTCATTAGCATAAATTGGTGTCCCACAGTGATATCTAAATATCTTTTCTACATAGAGGCCGATTTAATGATATATGGGCTCTTCCGTGCTATTGTTGTCCATACGCTACTATAATCGCATCATGTAAACATGCACAATCCAGCATCTTGGCTCCGAGGCATCGTTTTCTAATAAAATCATTATTGAATTGAATTGATAAGATTTCAGTATCTCCGGGTTTATATTCCGAAAAACTTAATTAAGCTAGTTATCAAGTAATTACAATCATACTTCATTAGTATGGTTTTATGATTATGGGTCCAGATGACTGTAACAATTAGATAAATTTGAACCCTGAATGAAAGGAAAACCTCAAAGGAAATAATATATCAATCTCAGTTTATGTTCACAATTATATATATAATACAATACAATAATACTAACTTAGCATTGTATTTGTATGGAACACACCTTGGAATTGCCCATATCATAATTGTTCTTGGTGACGTACGTGTGACTGACCCTTAACAGCTGGAACCCGTTCGTGTGTGAATCGTTAGGGTCTTTAATTTACTCGTTGCGTGTTTCATTACGTATTTTTGTAATTTTGTCTTCCATTCGTCTGCGTAGCTCCGATCGTGTAGGGTACTCTAAAAGGAAACAGTCATGCAGAAGTATCAGGAATACAAGATTGTACCCGACATCATTGACTCCCCGCCTGGGGAGGAGCTGTCTGTAGAATGGAAAAGAAGTAAGGTGAAGTGTTACCCTGGTGATAAGCTTACTCCAACTCAGGTAAGGGAATACATCATCATCGTTGTCGTAGTCATCATCATCATCGTCATTATCATCGACTTCATCATCGTTATCATAATCATCATCAGCATCAATATAAATAACATTATCATCGAACCATCATTATCATCACCACTATAGTCATCATCAAAATCGTTAGCATCATCCTTATCATCATCCTTATCATCATCACTGTCGTCGTCGTCATCATCATCGACTTCATCATAGTTATCATAACCATCATCAGCATCTATATAATTAACATTATCATCGAACCATTATCATCACTAATGTCATTTGGCAAGACATTGATCTACATTTGCCACACTCAACCCAGGTGATGTAAATGGGTACCTGGCGATTATTCCTTGAAATACACTGAGCGCTGATAACGGCTGCCAGGGCTAAAGCTATTATTTTCAAAGCTCTAAACGGAAGCACATAGAGATGTTATTTCATAACGTATTATGCGCTATACAAGAACTGAATATTATTATTATCATTATCATCACCACTATACCATCATCATCATCACCATCATTATCATCTTCATCATGTTCATCGTATGCATCTCCTATCTTTGTTTCTCTCCTTATTCATTCCTACATGTATGCCTCCTGTCTTTGCCGTTTTCATTGCTCTTCTTTCTCCTCTTCTCTTTTTTCATCTTTTTTCTCTACTCCTCTATTCTGTTTATTTCGTGATTTGTATGTTTGTGATGAAGAGGTACATTTTCACTGTTAAATTGTCATTTTTTTCACTCCCTCGCAAAATTTAGAACATTGATGTTAAGGCAAGAGAGCCCGGGGTATTGTGCGTGCCTATAATGATTGCCGTCTTCTATGTTACAAAAAAAAAAAAAAGGTATTCATGTGGGTAACAAAAATAACATGTCGTATACATATCCATGTACATGGGTTACAAAGAAAAAGAAAATATCCATATTTGAACCATACAAATTAAGTTAATCATATAACATGTCATATCAAAACCTATGAATTAGCTATAACTTAATAATACATAGAGATTTGTGGCTGGAATTGAAATTCACAGAGTTCCAATAACGTATAAGTGATTCAAATAAAGGTTATTTTTAAACTTTAAAAAAACTTAAAATGTTGTTAAAGGGAGAACCAAAAGTTAGCACGAGTGCTAGTCGGGATTGGTTCTCCGAGTTTCTAAAACTGTATGCAAAGTCATATAAACATTTATTTTGTCTTAATATCATATTATTTGATCCTTATAATTCATCTCTGCTTAGGAGTTTAATTCTGAGATTTTGACGAAATGATGATCTTGTTTTTTCTTCTCTGATATTTATGGGCAAATTATTCCACAGCTTTGCTCCAATGAAAGAAATTGAAAAAGTCCCACGTGTCTTACTACATTTAGGTAATCGTATCATTAAATGTTCTCTCCCTCTTGTTCTATACATGTGATTCATTAAAACAAAGTAATCCATTAACGAATGTGGTAGATGTCCTTTCTGCAGATCATATACAAATGTCGATACTGAATGCTCGAACAGATTATGCACATCTAATACCTGTAGACGTACGAACAGTGCCTTTGAACTTGTTCTAAACGGGGAAAATGTTATCACACGCATGGCCATTTTCTGTGCCAATAGTATGCAATTTAAATGACTTTTATAGCAACTTCCCCAAACTTCAATACCATAAAGTATGTGCGGCTGGATAAAGGATGTATACAAGAGCATGAGAATGTGCTTAGGTACATAGTGCCTCAGCTTACACAGCAGTCCAATCTTCCTCCGTATACACTTATTAACGTTCTGAATTTGCTCCTTCCACATCAAAGTTTCATCAATTTGAATTCCTACGAAAGATGCTACACTGACTCTATCTATCACTGTATCACTGAGTTTTAAAATACCCCTAATTTCACATGATTGCCTTTGTCCCTTAATGAGCATATAATTTGTTTTCTTTAAGTTTATTGTCAACTTGTTAACAAAACACCATTTTTGGACTTCCAAAAATTTGACATTTACTTCATTCATATCTATTTCTTTCTGTCTTTTATCAAAAGTATGAAATAGGTTTGAATCATCAGCAAATAATCTAAATTCAAAATATTTAGTAGAAGATGGTAAATCATTAATATATAATAGAAACAAAGTGGGCCCGAGGACTGAACCTTGAGGGACACCATATGTTATCCTTCTCCTACTTGATATTATTTCCTTGTAGCATAAGACTTGCGATCGATTTGAAAGGTAACTTTGAAACCATTGCAATACTATGCCTCGTATACCGTAATTTTTTAACTTTCCTAAAAGGATTTCGTGATCAATAGTATCGAATGCTTTCTTAAAATCTATAAAAATACCTAGCGTTGGTTTACCTTTATCCATTGATTTTACAAGTGTATCTACAAGATTTATCAATGATAACTTTGTACTATATCGCTTGCGAAAACCGTACTGATGTTCATACAAAATCTTGTTAGATTCTAAGAAATTCATTAGACGACCATTAGCTAATTTCTCAAAGACTTTTGCAATGACCGGTAGAACAGAAATGGGCCTGTAATTTCCAGGATCGGTCTTTGGTCCTTTTTTGTATAAAGGAGTCACTTTTGCCGTCTTCAATGCATCTGGGAACTCTCCCTTTTCTAATGACAAATTGAATATGTACGTCAGTGGCGCAACAATATAGGGTATCGCATCCTTAATTAATCTTACTGGCAACTTGTCATATCCATGGGATTTCTTCGCATCGAGAGCATTTAGACTATCAAAAACTTCTGTTTCTTTTATGGGTTTCCAAAAGAAGGATTTTTCATTTCTTCTAGCTAAATAGTTTTCGAAATCAAGATTAACAGTTGGAATGTCTATTCCTTTTATTCTCTCTTTCTTCACCATTTCAGCATTTCTCTCTGGTACCTATTCAAACTCTATTCTATTAATCTCACCTTCTGGCAATTTTAAAAACTTGTATGATAAAGTTCGAGTTCAAGTTAAAGTTCAAAAATCATTATACTCGTGAAAATTTGATGATCATTCTTTGCACATGATTATATTCGCACTATTGTACTTTGTAAGTTTATTGCAACAGCCTTTATAGTGTGGTACGGTATGTCACTGAAACAGTTCCCGTAGGATTTTTGTGCCAAAGTTGATTTTTTTTTTTTTGTTGTTGGTTTTTTGTTGTTGCATTTTTGCATTTTTGGATTCATTGGGGTCCAAGCTATCAGAAATTGATGGGGTTCAAATTTTCCGAAGACACCAAATTTCCCTATTTCGCGTTATATAAGCCATTTTGGCGCCCAATATGGACCCTCCAGGAAATGAAGGAGGGGTCTGAAACTTTGAACCCCATCATTTTTGGCCAATTGGGACCCTTTTGAAGCCAAAACAGCAACAACAACAAATCAACTTTGGCACAAAAATCCTACGGGATTACTTACCATACCGCACTATTATGTTTCATCGGCATATGTGAAAAGCCATTAACTTTCAAAAATAACATTAGAGGGTTTGACATCTACTGTATATCGAAAATGAAATTCTTCGAACAAAGTTAATCGGTCACGTATTTTGCTTGTATTGTAAATGGACACAAAAATTCAATGTCAATGTCATGATGGGCCGTCTCTTGATAACATGTTTTCATGTGTTCAAGTCGAATACTCGCAAATTTCAATAAGCAATTCATATATTCATATTTATTTCATTTCCAACAGACAGGTAAACAAAGATATTACATTTGATTTCATACATAATTCATTTTTTCAAGAAACTAATTATTACAAGAATTTCTTAATTTCTGAGGAAATGGGGGGATCCATAATCATCATCAGCATCAATATAATTAACATTATCATCGAACCATCATCATTATTATAATCACCACTATCGTCATTATCAAAATCATTATCATAATCATTATCATCATCGTCACCACCACCACTATACCATCATCATCATCATTATCACCATCATTATTATCTTCATCATGTTCATCGTATGCATCTCCTATCTTTGTTTCTCTTCTTGTTTATTTTCATTCCTACATGTATGTCTCTTGTGTTTGCTCTTTTCATTGCTCTTCTTTCTCCTTTTCTGTTTTTTCGTCTTTTTTCTCTACTCCTCTATTCTGTTTATTTCGTGATTTGTATGTTTGTGATGAAGAGGCACATTTTCACTGTTAAATTGTATTTTTTTTCACTCCCTCGCAAAATTTAGAAAATGCATGTTCTGGAAAAGGACCCCGTTGGTACATTATTGTGCGTGCCTATGATTGCCGTCTTCTATGTCTATTCCTTCTATTCTCTCTTTCTTCACCATTTCAATAGCATTTCTCTCTGGTACCTATTCAAACTCTATTCTACTAACCTCACCCTGTGGCGATTAAAAAAAAAAATCGTTAGTGCATTCCATAGTTGTATACAGTGGCGTAGACAGGTTCGAACACCTGGGGGGATGACTCAGGGGCGGATCTAGCTTTTTGCTAAGGGGGGGTGTTGACCAATAATGACGATGCGGAGCATCGTCCACGAGCCGCGAAGCGGCGAGCCGATTTTTTTTTTGGTGTTTATTTGAACCCCGTAAGTGATGTTTTCCTGGCATCTATTAACACAATGGAGACCATAAAAAGCAGTGCATGATAACGTCTTTTTAAATCAAGTAACAGTTAAATACACAGTTATATCCAGAGTTATCATGTGTTTGGTTAAGTTACCAGATGAGTTGAATATCTTCTCACAATATTTGCACTTGAAAGGGTTTCTCTCCAGCGTGCGTTCTTTATTCTTTCTTTTTTTCTTTTTTTTTTCTTCTTTTTTTCCCTTTTTTTGTTGTTTGTTTTTTGGGCCGCCCAAGGGGGGGGGGTTTAAACCCCTAACCCCCCCCCCCCCCGTAGATCCGCGCCTGTTTAATCTTGTGGTTATCTTGTGGTTTCCAAACCACAAGATAACCACAAAATACTTGTAAGATTTTCTTTTTTTTTACCGTCTGAATTGGCTTTCACCGTGTGAATGCGGCTAATAACAATGAACACAATTACAATAATGATGAGGATTATTATTATCATCATCATAATTATTATTATTATTAATATTATAATTGTTATCATTATTATTATTACTATTATTATCATCATTATGACTTAATTATTAAGTAAGCAAATATCATTCCCCAAAACCTGGGGGGGATGATTGTACATGCCATCCCCCCCACCTTGTGAGGTGGGGGGATGCATCCCCCTCATCCCCCCCGTTGTCTACGCCCCTGGTTGTATATATATGCTTATCACAGTTGTAATGAAAAAAAAGGTTGCTAACACCAAAGAGCTGCATTGCGACTGTAAATTAATAATACAATTGTGACAGTTAACAATGGCGTATCCATTAGAAGGTAAAAACAGGCCACCCCTCCCACCCACGGCACCTACTTACCCAAGCCCGGACCCTGGGAAAAGCACCCCTCTTATTTTTAACGGGTCTATAGCACGCAGGGTTATCCATATACTACCCCTCCCCAGGCACGTAGCCAGGGGGGGGGGGGGGGCACGTGCCCCCCCCCCCCAAATTTCCAGGATCGGTTGAACTTATTCAGACCCCTTTTTTGACCTCGGTCGGTATGTGCCCCCCAAACATCAAACTCTGGCTACCTGCCTGCCCCTCCGCTCCCCACTCACAACAGAAATAAATCTTCCCCCATTTGACAAACTTCTTGATGAGACACTGAGTCAAATGCCTTTTATTTAAAGAAGGGTAATATTAGTGTTGGGGTACTGCGTATACAGATGCGCAGTGGGTCAAAGGTTGAGGTAATTTAAATCCCTTTCATTTTTTCATTATTTTGTCCCGTCTCTAAAGAATCTAAAGTGTTTGGGGCTCGATTTTGATTAGCGGCGTTGCCATAATTTTTTTTTTTAGGTGGACGGTAACATGGAAAAAATATTGTGGTGCAATGTTAAAGTACACGCTTGCATAATTGTTATTCTTCAACGGGATATGTAGCTACTAATAAAAGCCTTTCATGTGTATTGGTGAGACACTAATGGTTGCAGTTTCTTTTTTGCACTTTAAATTTCCTGAAAGTAGAAAGAAATGGAAAGAAATTTTAGGGGCACATGCCCTTCGTATGCAGGTTCCACACTTTGAAACTCCACTGATAACAAAATGAAAATAAATGAAGAATAACTGTTACCCTCTGATTTTTCCCACTCTCTCTCCCACTCTCTCTCTCCCTCTTATTTCTTTCTTTCTCTCTCTCTCTTTTCTCTCTTTCTCTCACCCCTCTCTCTTTCTCTCTCTCTCTCTCTCTCTCTCTCATTTCTCTCTTTTTCTCTCTCTCTCTCTCTCTCTCTCTCTTATTTCTCTTTCTTTTTTCTTATCACTCTCTCTCTTTCTTTTTTCTTATCCCTCTCTCTCTCTCTCTCTCTCACTCTCCATGCACACTCTCCTAATTCTAGGTGCATACACCGCCCGTTCTTGACTGGCGTGCCCGCCAGGACAACCTCTACACTGTCCTCTTCGTCCATCTTAGACCCGTGGGCGAGCCGGTCGATGAGGAGCTTCATTGGTTGGTCTTTAACATACCCCAGGAGAACATGATGAGGGGCCAGGTCCATGCCGAGTACCTCGAGTCAGGACCAACGGAAGGCACAGGTATGTATTGTTCTTGTTTTTTATTTTTTATTTATTCATTATCATTATTTATATTATTTTTTATTTATTTGTATTTTGTTTTATTTGTATTTTTATTATTATTATTTTTTTTTTTTTTAATTATTATTATTTATATTTGTATTATTTTTTGTATTTGTATTTGTATTTTTTTTTTTTTGGGGGGGGGGTGGACCTTATAATGATAATAATAATAATAATGATAATAATAATGGTTCTAATAATGTATTCATATTGTACATTTTCTTTATGCATGTTATACTCTTCTTTGCCGTTTCCTTGTAATTTAATATTTTTAACATGTTTCTTTAGTATCTCTCACTTTTCCTTCCTTTTCCTTTCTTCTTTTTCTAGCGCTTAGAAACATTATATTGAGCGCATTATAAATGTAATGTCTTATTATTTTTTATTATTATATGTTCACATGCGCTTTACTATAACTTTGTTAACAGAAGAGGTGAGTTTTGAGATAATTTTAACCCCCCCCCCCGCCCCCTCCTCTCCCAACAAGGAAGCCTTAGGAGGGGCGTCTCAATTCATGCGCCTTTTGAAAATTAATCACGGGATCTATCCTATTATTTCTGACAATCCCTAATCCGCTACAATTGAAAGGAAGTATAGGTGCTCCAACATAATGATTATGCTCCGGCGAGAGCCCAGGTCTTTATAGTTCGTCAAATGTATTTGAACGATCATAAAATAAGCCATTTTCGTAATATAATCAAATTGAACGCACAAATCTTTTATAAGTGCCCCGTTGCAATTTATTTCATTCACCTGTTACGAATGATTGTATTTCAATAGTCAGAATACGAATTGCATACATTAATTGTTGCTTCGCAGGACAAACATATTATGGTATGTCCCAGGTACCTTACGACACGGAATGTATGCAATTCACATTCTGACTATTGAAATACAATCATTTGTAACAGGTGAATGAAATGATTTGTAACATGGCCCTCAACAAAGATTATATGCATTAAATTTGATTACATTACGAAAATGGACTTTTGGCTTTGCAATAGAGCGACACAAAATAGGGTGACTACGAGTGACAATGCTTGTAATATTCTATTATCAATAAGGGGAACTTTTGAAAATATCATCTACTCAGACAAAGAGAAAAAATGAGCGACAATTTGCATGGATCGGTTTCCAATAATAATAAAAGCGTCTGAACAAAAAAAATCATGTCCATACTCAGTGAACTATGAAATAATTCTCATTAAAAAAGCTTATCTGCTGATCCGATGGATTTCAAACCGTATTGTAGGCATGATACACGTGATAGGCGTATTGTAGGCATGATACATGGTTGTACAATGTTGCCCAATTAGTTTGAATAAATATTTCTTACCTCTTTTCATAATGATTGTGACAATGCGATTTATTCTTGATAGATAAAGTTTATATCTTCTCAGAACTTCATTCACCAAACATTATTGATCGTTCTGAGAACAAATAAACATTATCTTTCAAGATCAAATCTAGTTGTCAAAATCATTTCAAGAAAAGAGGAAAGAAACGTTTATTCCGACGTAATGGGGAATAGTGTTTATAATATTTCCACGTTCATAGTTATTTCGTGAAAACGATGAAATTGTGGGAATCAATATCCAGGGTTTGAGTATACTTAACAGGTGCCTGACCTTGCTTCCACGTTGGCCCACATACGGTTTGGGATTCTCGGCGTGCGATGTATAATAATTATTATAATGCATTGTGAAAATCGACACTGTCTGAACAGGGTACGTGTTACATTTCACGTTGCATAATTAGCGCAATGAAGAATAGCAGTAGACCTACTACCGCATACAATCATGGACAAACATATGGGCATACGAGGTAGGCGGGTCTAAAGAGGGGCGGCTCGGAGGTGCAGCCCCCTACCCTTCCGATAATTTTGTAATGACTCGCATTCGGGGAAACCCTTACCTCATATCCCGGCAGCGACGTGGTCTATAACAAATATTAAAAAAAAAAAAAAAAAAAAAAAAAAAAAAAATCGTTTCTAATATTGGCGACGAAATTTCATTCTCACTATCTATGACAAGTAACGTCAGACTTTCGCCCGCTCGCCTTGCTCACTCGACACATTTAGAAAATGGAAAATTGATATTATGGCAAGATATTGATAAATTGAAATATATTTAATAAGAAAAGAACTCATCAAAATAATGACGCATTTATCAGTAAATAGTGTATGAAGAATGTAAAAACATGAACATGTTCATTTAAATCAAAGAGTCATAAATTTGAATTAAAATGCAATGTCTGCACCATTTTGACAATCTGATCACTCTACTTGCGAATAAAAAAACTAAATCTTCTCCGTCTTTATGCTGATTCCACAAACCATATGCTCACACCGTCACACGATGCGTCATTTTCATGACGTACGTAGGACTGCGTCAACGACTGACGCTGTCTTTGACGCAACATTATGATGGGAGTAACATCATGATGAAGAGCGCAAACATTGCGTCGAATTATTAAAGTGTAAACATTAATTTCCTTCGTATATAGGATTGGCATTGGTAAAAACGCAATAGACATGGCACCGCGACATTAGACCTACAGTTTAGCAGGCAAACATTGTGGCACTGCTGTGGGCTGTCGTAAACCTCGCGATTCTTTGATCGTCGCAACCAATGAAAATGTTCTTCTTAATTCTCCATCTTCATCCCAGGAGTTCATCGTTACGTCTACCTGGTCTACCGTCAACCCTCGACCACTCGTATCACCCCCAAGTTCCCCTACCAACCCCGTCATCTCGATGGACGCAGGCCATGGAACACTCGCAACTTCGCCAAGGAGTACGATCTGGGCAAACCCGTGGCCGGCAACTTCTACATGGCCGAGTTCGATGAATCCGTTCCCCCGTTCGTTCACGAGGTCACAAGCAACACAGGCCACTTCTTGGACTCGTAGAGTGATGTCGGCAATTAGATCACGGTGGCGACCACGGCACCAGGGATGACGTGACCAAGTACAATGATGTCGACCCTGATTGCTTCGCACTTGCGAGCGCGATAGGGAAGTTATGCTAGCTTTAAAGAATTTAGTCGCTTAGAATAACCTTTAAAAATAGTAGTTGATCGTTTTATAAAATGTTAAAAGAATATACTCGAAGGGCGAGACAATAATTTTGTATTGATATCCAAGATTTTTGGTTTGTTCGGTGCGATGTATTCTAAGCTTTTGTAAGGATTTTGATATATAACAGAACCTTTATGATCCTTTATCTTGTAGTAAGGTATTCAAATAAGGCCTATGAAAGTAACCAAGGCTTAATATCCATAATCATAAATAGTTCAATGTGCCCTTCAACCGTTTGGTTGCTACCTTTTCGAACGTTCTCTCTCTCTCTTTCTCTCTCTCTCTCTCTCTCTCTCTCTCTCTCTCTCTCTCTCTCTCCATTTTATGTTATATATATATATATATATATATATATATATATATCTTTATTTCTATCTCTCCCTATCTCTTTCTGCCTGGTCGTAATATTTTTATCTAGCAGTTTTATTGGCGATTTGCCGACTTTCTATTTTTCTAAAATTTTGATCAAGAAAAAGATGGGTATTATAAACACTCTCTATTGCCACAGTTCACTCATTTCTAAAATGTTTCTAATCATTATAACGGCTTCCATTCGAAGTGCAGTTCATACATGTATATCTAACTAACATTCCTCTGTTCAAATATCACTTTACTGAAATACAGTGTCTAGAAAATGTCATAGTTCTGACATGTATGTACGGACAAAATAAATATATAAAACGGTAGTAATTACTAGTGATGGTATAGTACAGTACTATATGGTATAATAAATATTGCAGTAAAAGAATGAGTAGTATTAGGAACATGAGGTGAAGTAGAAGAGTAGGAAGAAGAAATAGTTTTGATAACAATTACTAATATGAAACAATTTAAAACAAAAATAACATCATTGTTTTTACTATTGGATTAAAATTTATTTAAAGAGCAATTCAACCCTTGTAATAAGTTCATTTGTATGAAAGCAGTAAAATAAGCTAAACAAAATGGAGAGAGCTTAAAATAATATTATGAGATCACCAAGTCTATGCGAATCTCAAATTGGCAGTTTGATTAGTAGATTGTGACGTGGTCATGGATAACTCTCCTGTTTGTTGTGTACAAAAATATGATGTCATTAATTTGTGTTTTTCTTTGAAGTGTCTTCTCCGTTGGGGAACTATAATTAAAATATATCATGGATGGCATCATTATTTTAGGTCCTCTAAAGAGAATAGACCCTCTTGGGTCATAATTTTTGAAAAATGGAAATTTTAGTAATGTGTTGGTACAACTGGGAAAGTTGTCTGTCACTACTTCACAGAGACATCCCAATTGAGCCAATACCTGTAGTGATTAACAAATTAAGAACTTTCTAATTTTTTGTCTGATCTCATCCAAACTTTCATAAGTGTATTTTCAGATCTTTCTGCTTTCTTCTAGAGTAGTTTAAAAATACAGTAACCATTAATCGATAATAATAATAGTCATTCATTCATACACTCATTCATAATTTTCTATCATGTAAATTTATTTCATATCATGATGTCATATTTTCGAACATTCAATGCTATCACAAGCGATGGAAAAATAGTACTGCACTTTATAACATACATTCTGTGTTCACTAATATCTCAAGTCTTATTCATTTCACCATATACAGTACCTAACCTAAATTGCTTCCAATTCTGTTTCATTCTCAACTTCCAGCAGAAAAATAGACTAGGCCTTTAATTATTTGATATCACATAATAAACTCTTTTCACTAATACTTAATTATTTCAAGTCTGCTCAGAAAACACATCAAATCTGGTGTATATATAATTCCTTAAACTGAATGTTGAATTTTGAGGTAATATTGCACCAAATTAAAGTCCTTAGTTGCATTGTTTTTGTCCCAAAATTGTTCACATTTTATCAATATGACATAATTTCACTTTTAAAAAGTTTGTTATACTGACCACGAGCATAAAAGAAAATATCTAAATGTTACAATATAGAAATATAAATCCATGACATTTAATATACAAAACAAGTGTTCCATTGATAAAAGATATTAAAATTTCTTGTATATAAATTCCTGATTATAGACCAGTTTGTACTTAACACATGGTACGATTGATCTCAAATATGCATCTATAGTTTACACGACAGAGAGGTCCCACTTTGAAAGTTTAGAATGTTCCCTTCAGACGTGATGAAGTACTTCATGAAGAGCTTTCATTATTCATTTACAAAATAATGAAGGATACATCATTTGTGCATAAGTGAAAAAAAGATTACATAACTTTCATGAACATTTATCCTGTATATTTCCCAAATGGTTTACAACTCGGTATAAATGACCTTTGTCTGCTCACACAGAAGTTGTATTTCAAAACTGGCATCTATATATTCCTCAGTCACAATGCTAGACAAATGCACACTGATTCAAAACTGACAAATCTGTGGTCATTTAGGGTAATCCAATTTTGTTCTGGGGGGGGGGGGGGGTGTTTCACAAAGCCTTTTTTCAATGACAAATGACAAAAATCAGTGACAAATCTGCTGATAACCAATCAGAAGCAAGGATTTCAGTAGCTTATAACAAAAACTGTCATTTGTCACTGATGACAAGTTTTGTGAAACACCCCCTTGGTGTTTGTCTGGTCGCCGTGACTGAGGATATCTGTAACGACCTGGGCAAATCTCTATGAAAAAAACTGTAAGTTTTGAGTCTTGGTTGCTGCTTCTAACGCAGCCTTCTGCTTTGGCACCCAGTCATCGTACTGAGCTCGGAAGAGGTTCCCCGCCACCGGGTCACCTAGGTTGTTCTCCGCAGCGTAACGCTTCAAGCAGAATTTGATCCGTCGTTCACGGCTATATGGGCGATGAGGCCCGGCAGGTTTGAATCCTGATGGCTGCTTGTAGATGAGAAAGCAATAGCGATGAAGACCTGGACAAATAAATCGTTCAGAGAAATCTTGTTTCTTGGGACCGGGAAATTAAGCTTGTCTTCATGAAACTTTGTTATACATGTATTAGGGATTGAAATTCAGACATGAAATGCTCTGACCAACAAAAAATTACAAGACACAAAATAAAATCATCAGCCTTTTCAGGTGCCCTGTGGGTCAAAAGGATGATTTTGATGAATGGGGCAGAGTCAGGTGTGCCCCCCCCCCAAAAAAAAACCCCCACATCTTCAGCACTTTCAGCATTCCAGACACCACCAGCTACCAGGTCTATAACCCCATCCCCCCCTCCCCCCTCACAATGACTGCACCTACGCCACCCCCAGCTACCAAGCCTGGGGTGTGTTTCACAAAGATCCTAAGTTGGACTTAACAATTATGGAAAGCCATTAACATCTATGAAAATATTTTTTAAAAGTTATTTTAAAAGGCATAAAATGTTGATTCAAATCATTCATATTTTCTACTATCAAGGAGATTTCATCTTCTTGATGTGGAATTCATGAAAAGTTTACAGTATTTGAATTTTTGCTTTTGAGAATATTTAATTTTAAGGCTACAAATGGCTCTCCATAATGTTTAAGTCAAACTTAGAGTTAAGTTTGACTTAGAATCTTTGTGAAACACCCCCAGGTCTATAACTCCATCGCCCCCCCCCCCATGACTGCACCCATGCAACACTCTTCTCCCGAGATTGACCTACCTGTGCCCTCTGGTGCCCCTGACCCGATGTACTCGGAACAGACCGTGCCAGTCTTGGAGTCTCCGTTCGACACGTCCACCATCATGAAGTGATGGATTTCCCTCACGCTCTCCGACGCATCCCAGTCCGTCATGATGATGGTGTAAAGAGCGCCCTCTTCAGCTGGGAATGTGATGTGAGGCATGTCCTTCACCTAAGCCATTTCAAATCGTTCAAAAGGCATTTTTTAAATGGAAATAATAATAATAATAATAACAATAAATTGTTTCTTTTATAGTGCTATTTCCAATTTAGAACTGATCAAAGCGCTTTACAAAAATTCAAGATTTAAAGCCACACTGTACTACTTATAGCTACTTGCTGGTTAAAAATATAAACTACACCACCACCAACAGTTACAATTCGCAAATTTTCTAACTCATCCATGGTGAAATGTACTGTAGGTCAAAATTGTAAAGTGCCCTTAGGAACCCGCTTATGGGGCAGAGAGAAACAGGGAAAAAAATGTTGATATAAATTTACAAATGACCAGACTTTCCAAGACTTTAATAGGGTCACTACATCCCATGTAGGTGAAACATGTAAGATTAATAATACCAGTACTTCTGAGAGGGGGGCGTTTCCAAAACTGGTCTATACCTTTAACATCCCTCAAAGACTACATAGAGATCTGAATCAATTTAATTAGCATATCCCCTATCACTTAAATTTTGTAAAGAAATGGTGGGAATTAAAGGTGCTTAGAAATGAAGGATTGTTCACAATACATAAAAGGCTACCAGCACCTGTTACAAGACACTAGAATTGACGGCACCAAAGGAATGCAAAGAGTCAGTTATTCAAATTTGCGTACCTGTATCAGTGTATAAAATTGTACAGGTCCCAAGCATTTTATAATCAATTTCTCAGGAATTTTTTTCCCAAAGCAACACCACTGTATGTGTTTAATATGAATATATGGTATTTTGGAAGTGGTCACCGATAAAGTGGTATTCAAATTTCAACAATTTTAATTACACAGGAGTCTGGTAACGTTAACATTTTCATGATAATTATATTCTAGCTATACCCATGCTCTTCAATTTATTCCACTCAGTGCTTTTAGATGAATAGAGAATACATTTCTAGGTATGCAATCTAATCAGGTGTTTTCTTGTCACATGTACCGGTATATAACCAGGATGAGCAGTTGCTATGTTAGGCAGAATAGTGAAATGTCGGTGTAAAAGACCGCTTATAATATGGGAGACAAGAAAAGTGGTCTTTACAGGCAGGTGGTCTTTATGCTGTACGGGCTACTTACAGGTGTCATAGACAATGAGAAATGCTGTTGATCAAGATCGAGGAACAACAAAAAGTATGGTCTCTCAATACAGGTGGCCGTGCTGTACAGTCTTCCGATATATATAGTTGCTAAGCAGGTTATTAGATCTGAATTTGGAATGCCATATTATTTTTGTACTTCCTCAAGTTACAAAAAGAGATGGTGTTGAACCCGATCCTTTACCCAACAATAAATAAGCAGTCCTACTCACTTGTGTCGGTGTAAGCTCCTTCCCAAAGTCACATGACACGCCTGAAGGGAAGACGACCTCAGCTCTGAGGGGCGGGGCTACGTCAATCACTTCTGGTACCACACCAAGCTCTGCCCACTTTGAGGATGCCATTATTCAGCTGAGCAACCAAAAAAAAAAAAAAAGACACAATGAATCTATCAAAATAGAAGCAAAGATACCAGTATAGACCCTATTTATAGACCCTGTAAGTTTGGTTATTTCTATTGGGTACTAAGCAACAATTGAAATATATATACTACCATGGGCAAACAAAATAATACCATAAATAGCCCATTTTTTCAAAAGAATATGAAGGGCATTCTAACATTTACAAAACAGATTCTATCAAATCAAATCATTCTGTGATTTGGTTGGAGGCATTTGCCCAGAGCCCCATAAACAAAAAGAAAGAAATTAATGCTGATTTTGAATACATAGGTCAGACAAACTTCTGACAAGCTCTATAATATATAGACTATGGTATAGCTCAAACCAGAAGTAAGTTGATTATAAAAAACAAAAGAATTTTATAAAACAAACATAGACTACAGAACACACTTAATTTCTTAAAAGTTAAATAAGCATGGAACTTTTAACATGACACAAATTCTACACATCACCAGATTGATATTAAATGTACGATTAGATGTTTCTAAACAAGGAAATGACCCTATAAGGCACACTCACCAAACAATGGCCTAATTCAACAGTATAGGCCTACCGGTAAAATATCAACTCAAGGATCATAATAGGCGCGCCTTAACTCACAATCACAGTGCACGCTCAAGCAAAGAGGGGGATTACCTATTTTATACTTAAAGCCCCTCAACAGGTGCAGTGGTGGAGTATTTAATTGCTAACAGCTGAGCTAAATATTGAAACATAAGTCTTACAAATCCTCAGTTTACTTACTTTAATGAATTGCAGAATGACGATCTCTTCCTTGAAAGTACATGTATCTCGATCGGCATGTATGGACTAGACTGAGTGACAAGTTGACATGTAGTTAGAGAAAACTGTTTACAAAGAATTTACATAACTTTCAAGGAGCCTGGAATCACCTGACCTGGGCTCTAGAGGTGGCGCTATTTCGAAATTCATATGGTTCACACATAGAAATCACGTTGGCGACAACTGCGATTCATAACTTGGTATTTAATACTAAAAGTTCGAACTCACCTTGAATTTAGTATCGTGAAGTGTTACTACAGGACTCCTGGCAGGGGTAGCGCCGGAGAATTTTTAGGGGGGGGGGGGGACTCAGGTAACTTCTTTCCATGTAAAATTTGAAGAAAAAAAAACTTTTCACAAGGGATGGAATAAAACGTACCAACAGTTTACAGAGGTTTTTATTTCTCGATCCGTCTCTCTCTCTCTCAGCTCCCTTCCCCGCCCCCATTCTCTCACCCTCTCTTTTCATCTTTATCTCCACCCCTCTCTGCGCATTATCTCTCCCTCTAATTACTTTTACTCTTACTCACTCTACCACCCCTTCCCCAACTTATCTCTCAACCGCTCTCTCCATCTCCATCTCTTTTTTTTTTTTATATATACCCCTCCTTCTCTCATTCTTCCCTGTGTAACCACACACATTTTCTCTCTCCCCATCTATTTCTGTAATTCATATTTATATCCACCTCTCTTCCTCTGTACCCACGCAATCTCTCTCACTTTTATTCTTGCTCTCCCCCCCCCCCCCCCCCCCCTCTCTCTCTCTCTCTCCTTCCTGTCCCACCTCCTTTCTCTCACCCTTGCTTTCAATCTCTCCCTCTCCTCTCACTCTTTCTCTCCTTTCTTTTCTTCCTCTCTTCCTCTTATCTTGTAATAATTATTTTTAATAATTAATTTCTTAAGCCCCACCGCACTAATTTTGCCTGGAGGGATTTGACCTCCCTGCATGGTTACTGACAGGTGGTTATCTCATCAAATAAGCTCTCAATTAACATAAGAAAAGAGGATCATTGGGGACCAATGGTCATCGATTAGGCATTGTTTGCTATATAGAGGGCGCAAGTAGCTATAAGTAGTGCAGTGGGGCTTTGAAGTCTCAAAGGATATTGATGACAGACAATTTGCTTGGCTTGCTTGACCCACCAGTGCACAAACAACGAGAAAAACACATTAACATTATTACAACTTCATGCATAGGCGTACCAGATTGGGGGGGGGGGGGGGGAGGAGTCCCTCAAGTGAAAGTACTTACCCACTACTGGGTAAAGGTCCCCTCATATTTAGGTTAGTAAAAAGCAAAAAAACAACTAAAGGTTGTTTTCCCCATAAAATCAAGCATAAAAACACAAAAATACTGAGTACTGTAATATGATTTATTAATGCATTATTTAATATGTTCATTTAAATAACTTCATAGGAAAACAGCCTACACTAGCAACCCTTTTTTTAATAGGACTTTAGGAAAAGTAGTGTAACAATATAGTCACTTTTATGTTTTGAATATTTCTATTCAGTTATGAAACTTCATATCATATACCATTCTCATAGATCATAAAATATTGTAAACCATTTTCAGAGAGTGTGTGTAACATACATGTACATGTATCTAAAAAAGATGCAGTTTTTAGAATAACGTCTTTCAAATAGCCTTGCAATAAATGTTAGAAACTGATGTTAAGCTAACAATCATCCCATACATGAGATGCCACAACTCACAGTGCAGCATCAAATCAAGAAATTGAAGAGCTTAAGAGCAATCAGTCTGTGTATATAGTGTGTGCTTTACAAATGTATATCCATTGTCCAATGTGTCTAAGAAATTTATGTGCAAAAGCGATTTCCGCAGGAGTAAGCATTTTTAACATTATGAGAGAACCATTGAGAGAGAACTGTGTAATACATCAGTACATATAACAAGGCAAAAACTAAATCTAAGATTCCTTAATTTTCAAATTTTCTGAGGCTGGTCAGCATTTCCGAAACTCTTTGTAGAGGTAAGGCAAAGAGTTTGTTAACATCTCTAAAGGACTTCATAGTGGTCTGAAGCAGGGATTTTAACATCTCTTAAAGAATTTGTAGAGGTCCTTCCTCTCTAAGGCTTCCCAGAGATTTCTTGAAGTCCTCTCAAAGACATGTCAGAGATCTCTCAAAGATTAAATAAAAGTTACAAAAGGGCTTGTTAACATCCCTCAAAGACTACATAGAGATCTGAATCAGGACTTTTCATAATCTCTCTCAAACTTCATAGAATGTAGAAGACATTGTAGAGCTATGAAGCAGAGCTTTTTAACATCTATCAATGAGTTTACTGAGGTTGGACCTCTCAGAGATTCTTATGGAACTTTCAAAGACTGTCAAAAAGGCTACACAGAGGTTGGAAGCCAGGCATGTAATCATCTCTCTCAAAAGTTGGAAGACTTTGTAGAAGCTGGAAGAAGTGCTTGTTAACATCTCTCTGAGACTTCATAGAGGTTGTACAAGTTCTTGTCAACATTTGTCAAAGACTTGTAGAGATGGGATGACTCAAAGACCTCTCAAAGACCTCATAGAGGTAGGAAGTAGAGCTCGCTTTCACTTATGGACTTTGTAGAAACAGACTTCTCAGAGAGTTCTCAAAGACTTCATGGAAATAGGAAGCTTGACTGGGTAAAATCTCTCAAAGAATTTGTAGAAGTTGGAAGGAATTCTTGTGAACATCTATCAAAGGTTCGATCGAGGTTGGAAGCTGGGAAGTTAACATCTTTCCATGATTTTGTAGAGGTTGGAAGAAGTTCTTTTAAATATCTCTCAAGATTTTGAGGACGTTGGACGAAGTTCATATTAACATCTCTTAAAGACTTTGTAGAAGTTGGAAGGAATTCTTGTGAACATCTATCAAAGGTTCAATCGAGGTTGGAAGCTGGGCATGTTAACATCTCTCAATGTCTTTGTAGAGGTTGGTAGAAGTTCTGTTTAAAATCTCTCAAGATTTTGAGGACCTTGGAAGAAGTTCGTATTAACATCTCTCAAAGTCTTTGTAGAGTTTGGAAGAAGTTCTTTGAGGACGTTGGAAGAAGTTCATATTAACATCTCCCAAAGACTTTGTAGAGGTTGGAAGAAGTTCTTTTTGAAGAAGTTGGAAGAAGTTCATATTATCATCTCTCAAAGACTTTGTAGAGTTTGGAAGAAGTTCTTTTTGAAGAAGTTGGAAGATGTTCATATTAACATCTTTCAATGACTTTGTAGACCTTGGAAGAAGTTCTTTGAGGACGTTGGAAGAAGTTCATGTTAACATCTCCCAAAGACTTTGTAGAGGTTGGAAGAAGTTCTTTTTGAAGAAGTTGGAAGAAGTTCATATTATCATCTCTCAAAGACTTTGTAGAGTTTGGAAGAAGTTCTTTTTGAAGAAGTTGGAAGATGTTCATATTAACATCTCTCAAAGACTTTGTAGAGGTCCGGTAGATTGGCTACCTGGAGAATGCTAGCATCTCCTGCAAACCTCTTGGGAGGAAGTAAGGTGGACTTGAGGGCCGGGAAGATGACAAACTCTATCGTCCACTTCCAGTTGTATGAAGGCATGTCGGCACCAGAGGCTGCATCCTGGATAGAGCCAAATAAAACAAGACAACTTCTTAGAAAACATAATCAAATCAATTTGACTCTACACATCATAAAAAGTAATGAGTGTAATATTTTGTACCACAAAATATAATATTCTACTGAGATAATGGACAGTATTCTTTAATCACTCAAATCAAATCATATCAAATATTAATGAATATTTATTTTGTTGTCTAATGTGTTATGTTTCAAATAACCTAGGCAGATTTTCCATCTAATTTTGCTCTCAGAGTTTAACAGATTTGTACTTCAGTCTATTCAATATCACAAGTGGATCTTCAATCTAACTGGCAATCAGCATATAACACACTTGCCTTTAGGTCAATAAACCTATTCTTTACAAATTACTTCTACACATCATTAACAAAGTTTTTTTTCGACGTTATTTGCCCAACATATTCCAAGTCCCAGCACTCTGTTCAACTCCCAAATTCTTTAGCTGGATTTGTTTTTCACAGCAGATGAGTGGTTAATGGTAGAAATGTAGAAATAGATCATAGATTCTTACATTTTCCCCTCTGGTATCTGTCAGTTTCGAATTTTTCTGGATTCTGTAGAAGAGACTGCACTCCTTGGCAAATGTTTGAAAGCAATCTCTTTCTGAGTCCCAGTCAACCTGGTGGTGGGGGAAAAACAACATTAAATGTAATTCACAATGTTGGCCAAGGCCATGGTTATGGATTTGTTGAAAGTGAATTTTTAATTTTAGGTACATCTTTAATACGCAATGGCCGCATCAATACTTAACTTTATTCAACTGGTCAATCAGTCAAACCTGCTTTAGTGACCATCTGTCTACAAAGACCACTTTTTTTGTTTCCCTTGAAAATGGTTTCTCATTGAAACATGCACTGAAGGAACCTGTCTACAAAGACCACTTTTTGTGTTTCCCTTGGGTGGTGGCTATAGACAGGTTTGACTGTACCTTACAACTTTGAGAAGGGCAATGTATGCCCTATCTATCTTGTCGGGCAAATCATGTTTGTCCTTTTACTATCCTGTTCTTCTTTCAAATTTCAATTGTAATTATATTCTGAAAACTATCAGTATGAATAGAACCTGAAGTTTGGTTTGTAAGGTTGGAAGTAAAGATAACTATTTGATTAAGCCATAAAAACAAAATAACACACTATGAATAATTTCTTTTTCTTTTTAAATGTTCTGTTGTAAACCGCAGGGTGGAAGGGGAGGGGGGAGGGACATGTTTGCAAATTTTATTAATTATAATCCAAACAAATATGACTGCATTTGTCTGTGTGATAAAGTCCCAATTTGGCTCAGGTAGTCTGGGGGAAGTTGTCTATCAAACGACCTGGGCCCAGTTTCATAAAACTTATTATCAATAACAGGTTCCAATAACTGTTATAAGCTACTGAAATTTGGTTGGCTGAGAGCAACTTTGTCAAAGAAATTAGCATTTGTTATTGATAACCAATTTGATGAAAGGGACCTGTTTCACAAAGCCTTTTTTCAATGACAAATGACAAAATTCAGTGACAAATCTGTTGTTAACCAATCAGAAGCAAGGATTTCAGTAGCTTATAACAAAAACTGTCATTTGTCACTGATGACAAGTTTTGTGAAACAGGGCCTTGGTTTCTCACCTCAGTAGCTAGTCTCAAGATGAACATTGGAAGCCCCTCCATGGCCGGGATGTACTTGTCCAATATGAGAGGAATGCTACATAGATTCCCTTCCTGTGAACAAGAATATCAGACACAATCAATAAGACTTTAAAACACAGAGCCAAGTCAATGTTGTGACAGCCCCATCTGTCGAAGCCTTTCGTCTCTAATTGACGAGACGCTGCAGCAGCTAAATCCAATGCTGCTTTTACATGCACCTTGTTAATTATTGGCACATGCACCCTATCCTTATAACACACACTACACCAAAGTTCTGCAAGAAGCTTCAAGATTGAAGGAAGCAGACTGCACCGAAAAAGAAGAAGAAGAAGGCAATTTCAATAGTCTTGCGGATCAGTTTCTGAAATATGCAAACATTACAATGAATATTTCATTATCCGAACATAATTTCTGTAAGCAATACAATAGCATCTTGCCAAACCTGCCAACCTTTGAAGACTAAAAATAGTAATCATTTTTTTACGAGGACTATGACGGAGCGGAGCGCCAAAACGAAGGAGCGAAGCGACCAAGCAGGGGGTGGGTGTGGGAGAGGGCTGTCCCCCTCCCACGGTAGGGAACTTTTGGTATTTTCAACATGTAGGAATGCCTTTTTCCTTCACTTTAAATTCATTTTTCAACACTTATGCAACCCCCTCCCCCATAAAAAAATATTTTAAACAACAAGGACTAAAAGCTCAAAATTCCCCTGATGAAATAGAACCTGGAGGAGAAAATAAAGGGCTATGCATAGGCGTGTAATGAGGTACTCAAATACCCAATTTTTTTGTTGTTGACACCACCATACTACGGTTGAAGTATCCCAGGTCCGTCACCGAAAACTCAAGCGATTTACTTGGAGTTGCAGTTGAAGGCGCTGATTTAATAATAATAATAATAGTAAACAATGCTGTTTTTAAAACCAAAGATGACAGACTAATTTTCCTCAGAGTCCAAACAGAAATCTGGACATTTGGTCCCACTTTCTGAGTGGTGAATTGACAGTGATTGAGCTGTGAATTTTTTTTTTACTCTTGGTACCATGCCGGTGCTCTCCCGGGCACGCTTTAGTGTCGGACTGCACAGTGCCAGGTGAATGGGCAAAAAAAAAATTAAAAATCGTAATTTTATGACAAAAAATCGTAAGGCGTAATTTAAATAAAAAAATCGTAATAATTATGCCAAAATCGTAGTAGTTGGCAGGTATGTCTTGCTTTGCTATTGCCCTGAAGTTTATTGCTATTGGTACACTTACTAAAACATCGATAGTAAAGCAATATGGCCTAATGCCATATGATTTGTACATTCTGAAGGGAAAAAAGGCCCCAATGCATACCCACTGATCTGTGTGTTAAGTGAAATGGAAATATGAAGAGCAGTATGCTTATACCATTTCCTTTTTTGCTACAGTAGTTTACTTTTCAGGCGGTTTTATGTGTGAAAGAGGCCTACAAAACAGCACTGCAGCTGAATGGTACAAGACTTGTACATTCATACAAATAATAATAATAACAATAATCTGGATTTATATAGTACTTAATACATAGTACCATCTCTACAAAGAACCCACAACCCTTGCATTTCAAGTCAAGTGCTTAAACTACTCAACTACGACACCTCTCACTTCTGATAAGGGAGTGTTGGAGACAGCAGGTAGAAAGACAGGGGGGGGGGGGGAGGGGGAGAGGGCAGAGAGATGGATACATAGAAAGAGAAGGAGATGGGGGGAGCCCTTACCTCATCAATCACTATACTAAAGTAATCATTGAGCATATCTGCTTTAGACTTAAGGAAGTCTACGATGTACTGGGCCAGTTGATCTTTAGGACCATCACTCTCACTCCAACCGCTCTCTGCTGAGTCCAGCGCAATCATTGCTAACTCAAAGATTGGTGCAGGATTCTGAGAAAAAAGGGGGAAAATAGAATACTCGTTCGTTCGTTTGTACAAAGAATATCAAGGGGTACATCATCTAAAGAGGAAGGTCCTTATGTAGCCAACTGATTGTCTTATCATCGAGCTCTTGAAGTCCAGAAGCACAGTAAGGGGATTTGTAGATAGGACAAGCATCAATGACATGATCCATAGTTTAGATCTCTCCACAGGTACAGTTTGGTGATGGATCAGCTCCAATTTAGTGCCGGAAATATCGTGTACGGCCAACTCCAGTTCTGATGCGGTTGAGGTTGACCCAGGCTAGAATACTAAGGTTCGAACTTAACTTTTTATTTGCTTACAGAGAATTTTTTTTTGGGGGGGGCATGATCAAAGTGAATGTCATCACAATCTTAATGATTGTTTCAGTTCTTAAAGGCAATTTATGGTAGTCATGTACTGTAAACTGTATGAAAGTCACATGAAATATTAATGATAGTTAAATTTATCCGATCTCTACCAGGGCAACAAATTCAAGACTTTTAGGTTTTAGGTTACGCGGCTAATGGCTCCTGGGCACTTACTGTTAATTTTGAGCCCTGGAAAATATAATTTCTGTATTTCTTATGTACTTATTCATTCATTTATTTCTTACAGCACATTTTCACCAGTAGTTGTGATCTTCCGTCAGGCCTTGTAACAATTCAATAAAACCTATATAATGGTAAAGAAGAACATGACAAAGAATACTTACCGAAAGCTTCATTAGACCAAAGTTGCCGAAGTCATACAGCGTTAACTGGTAGAAGAGCTCTTGACTGGTGAAATAAAAATCAATCAAATAATACCTTTATGAAATAGTCTACGCAAAGTAAGTATAAAAAAACATCTAATCACAAACATGTACAGTATTGATTAAGAGTGGATCAATCACAATTTGCCTTTCTGAAGCAAGGTTTAGTAAATGAGTATTCGTTCAAAGTAAGAAATTCCCTGAATGCTTGAGCATCTTATTATGGAAACTTGGCCAAAGCAAAGCTTATAATAAGAGCTGATATATTTTTACATGCTGTAAAGCTTATTTTTAGAAGCTGCACAATACAAATCTCTCTACAGTTTTATTTCAAATTAATTCTGAATATTTCAGAGGCTGTAGCCACTCACTCCTTGTGCTGAAACACGAGTTCCCCCTCCCCACCCCCTCCCCCTCTAAATCCCTTTAGGGTGTTTTAAACCCAGTGTGTCATTCCCTTAAAGACCCTCACCCTCGTTTCAAAGAATACACAACTTAACCTCATAAACTTTCATCACAAGAAAATATTGATTCTTTTGTATATTTAGTGTAATATGTTTACCTGAGTTTGAGAGTGTTCACGAGATATAATTTGGTTTTGTGTTGAATCAACGCATACTCTGCATCTACTGTCCCAACAAAAGTGTGTTGCTTCAAGAGATCTCGTAAATCTATTCCAAAAAACCAAAAAAAGCATATGTATACGTAAGCATTCCAAAAGAAAAACAAATTGTACAGTAGTCAAATTTACAGTGTCTAAAACAATTATTTGTACACCTGTAAATCAATGATTATAATGAGGATAAAATAGTACTAACTCAATATATTTCATTTTATTGACTAATTACAATAGTGGATAACAGTTTTGAACACTTTTCTTATTCATTTCATTTGGAACAAAGTAAAAACATAAAATCAAAACATTTTGGGAGTTCAAGTAAAAAAGCACAATAAAAAAAGCAACAAATCATCTCTTTAGAGCCACCCACAAGGTCTTAATTCTATGTAAAATTATGAGTTAATGCGCTTCTTACTCTAAACACATAACATGTACTTTTCACAGATCCCATATAGACGCACCAGTATAAATTAAATCACAAAGACAAGGATACAAATTCTAAACTATGAGTGTTGCCAAAGCTACAGTCTGGGTAATAATTTTCAAAACCCTGAGGAAACACACAGATATGTTACAATATAATTTGTTCTGTGCTATTCAAGTACATAATGATTATGATGCATATGGGCAATTACGAGATTTAAAGGGGGTGTAGCATGACGAGACTATGTGTCTTTACCGTGGCCTGACTCAGGGCCAATCGGATATAATACGACTATGGACGGCGCAACCGCAGTATCCACGTGCGTGCAACATACGCGGAACCGAAGCGTGAGGTGAACTCCGGTCTGTTTTGCTAACGCTAGGGCGCGCTGACCGTTAATCAAGTCCATTCGTTTACGTGCAGTTGTTCAAAAGGAGTCATAGATGGCATTAACCAGTATTTGCCATGCTACACCCCCTTTAACTGAAGATGCAAGAGCATATCCAGAGGATATGTGTCTGTATACAAGATTTTTAAAGAATATGACCATGGCGTAAAGTGCTAGACCAGACAGTGTCATGGATACTTCTACCTTCATGTGTGTCTTCTTCTATCTCTTTCTGGAGTTCCAGAACACTGGTTAGCTGGATCTCTTTGCGCTTGGGCTTAGGCTGTCTGGATACCGGTTCCTGGTCCTCCCCACTGGGTCCCGGCCTAGACGAGGGACCTTCAGTATCACTGCTCACTTCTGAACGGGGCCTCTTCCTGCATAGATATAAACAAGGTCTAGTCTAGTCATTGTAGGATGGATTGTGACACAGAACGAGCAGCGAGCTATAGAATGCATGATATCATACAGAGCTGCCAACCTCCAGAACAGAAAATCAGTAATCATAAGGCTCAAAATCAGTACTTTGGGGAATGAATCAGTAATTTCCTATGCGGTGCCATGAATCTAAAAAGAATGGCATGCGGACGCATGCACGCAAGATTATCTTAAATTTTTGGTGATTTTACTCCCACAAAGTTGCTAAATATTGATTTTCAGGTCATCACAATTAACACATACGTTTTCGATGTAAAATTGGCTTCTATTAAGAGAATACTTAATACTTTTCCTTCTTTCTCAGCGAGTGTTGGATGGCCACCATACTGCACAGCACTCGCTACGATAGATCCCTTTGCGCAAAAAAGGAAAACAAGTCCATAATTTTTAGACAACAATCTGTACTGCTGTACTGGTCGTTAATTTCTGTACCAATTACGAGAAATCCGTACTAGTCGGCAGCTTTCTTGTTGATGGATTGGTCAAGAGCTCTTCATCCGATCTTTCATAATTCTACAAGAAGATCAATTCTTTTATGGCGAAAAAATATGTGTCATGTCGGAGTAGGATAATTTTGTTACTATTTTCCCTCCCAATGCAATGTTTCCTGAAATGATTTCTGCTCACGCACACAGCAAACATTCCCATGAGTTGTCCAGGTAACTCTAGCAATGCGCCGGTTGAGGAACCAAGACAATTACACAAAGTGCATGAGTAGCTCGAAATGATAACGAATATAAAGATGTAGGTCAGTCAATCAGCTGTTTTTCTTGTGCAAATCTCGCTATCCCCAATATGCCAAAATGCCCGGATGTAGCCTCATGGGATATAATTTTGATCCACTTCTGGGACTAACATACTTCATACATACTTTGTTTAAAAGACTATGTCAGGGAATTCATTTAGTCAGAAAGATCAAATTTCCTATTTTTTTCTTCAAATACCTTGGTAGAGTTTGCCCGTCATCAGTATCCATCCCTTCTGCAGGTGCAAAGATTTCCACCACCCCTGGTCGCTGTCCACCATCACCACCACCAATACCACTACCACCAGCCACACCCACATCACGTTGGTATCTAGATGATGATGATGACGATGATGATGACCTGTCTTTGGTGCCGGAAGGGGTCACCTGTAGGAAGGCATCTAATTTCTGATCCTTCGAGTCCGTCCTCACCATGTGTTGTGCGTACACCTGGTCCGTAGAGCTTGACTTTTGACCTTTTGACTTGTCTTCATCGTCAGCGATGGAGAGATTTGATCCAGGCAGCAATGCCTATCAAGAAAGAAAGTAAACAGTTCTTATTTGGGCTTCCTATACAGTGCGTCCCAGAAAAAACGAAACCGAGAAGTATCAATGTTTTATCATCACTTAATCACAACTATACTTAATATATGACACATATTTGCAAAGCTTAGATCCTCCTCTTTCATTTGATGCTACTCATATGATGCATATCTCATGCATGAGTGATTAAAAGCAATTTGAAGGAAGGAAACCAAAAAGTCATTTGGCGGGCAGTATCTGAATTTCAAAAACAACAAAAAATCACATTTCTAGAAAGTTCATTTTCTGCCCTTTCATATACATGTATGACACCTCAATGAAGAAAAATGAGCAAGGAATAACAAAGTTCTGTTTGTTTAGTTGTGATTAAATTATGATAAAACAAAAATACTTCTCGGTTTCGATTTTTCTTGGACGCACTGTATTGCAACATATTGTTGTTTGTCATTGATCTGCACACTGCTGGTTTATGACTTCATGCACATATCCAATGCTTACGTGAGAATTGCTCCATGTTATATAAACAAAGATATAAGGAAATGAAAAGGGCTGTCATTGGGTTTTATGGTAGCTCTAGGGTAAGGGTTTGGTAGAGTTTAAGTTCACGACTGAAATTAAGAATTCAGTTGGTAAACAAATAATTCATTGGTGAATATGCACCACTCACAGGCCGAGTCACAATCGGATAAAGAAGGAGACTTGTCAAGTCAATAAGTGACTTATGCATACACACATCTCAACCATGCTTTATCACTTTTAGCCCTGGATTATCACTTCTGATGGGAACGTATTTGCACGGTAAGCATAGTAGAAAAGAAAGATGGATGATCACGTGGTGTCATTTTAGCAATTGGATTGACAATATACATTCTACAGTATAAGAAGAAGAAAAAAAACTTTGAAAAATATATCCTCCAAAATTTTATTTTCATGATATAAACATGATTTTTTTCTTACAAAATTAAAGATGAGGGTCTATTTAATTGGATGCTACTAAAATAAAGTGGGAGAATTTGGGCCTCTGCAAGTTATCAATAATCATAATTTCATAGTGTAAATCATGAAAAAAGTATCTAGTCAAAAACAAAAATGGCCTTTGATAAAAATTGGGAGAGTTTCTGATTTGACAGTATTAGTCATCAAACTTTTAAAGCCCCACTGCACTACTTATAGCTACTTGCGCTTCTATATAGCAAGCAATGCCTGATCGGTGACCATTGGTCCCCCATGATCCCCTTTTCTTATGTTAATTAAGAGCTGATTTGATGAGATAACCACCTGTCAGTGACCATGCAGGGAGGTCTAATCCCTCCTGGCCAAACTAGTGCGGTGGGGCTTTAAGTGTAATGAATTGAGGGATCACCTGTGTGAAGTATGTCCTAGATGAGTTGCAGCCCAAGAGCTTTTGCTCCAAACATTTCTGGATGTCCTCTATGATAGCCTCTTCATGCAGGAAGTGAACTTCATGCTTGGTGGGATGGACGTTGACATCGACGTTGTGGGGAGCTATCTCAAGGCTAAGAATGAAAGATGTTTTCTGTTTTAGAGTTTTTGCCTATTAAGTTTGTATTATTTAGCCCTATGAGTACTTGAAAGTGTTTCACAAAAATCCTAAGTTCAACTTAGTTGGATTTAACAATTCTGGAAAGCTGTTAGCATCTATGAAAATATATTGTAAAAGTTATTTTAAAAGGCATAAAATATTGATTCAAATTATCCATATTTTCTATTATCAAGGAGATTTAACGTTCTCAATGAGGAATTTATAAAAGTTTAAAATACTTGAGTTTTCGCATTTGAATATATTTTATTTCAAGGCTACAAATGGCTCTCCATAATTTAGAGTTGAGTTTGACTTTGGATTTTTGTGAAACAACCCCCTGGTGTGACATTTAATGTCACATTGACCCATAGATATGTGTTTTTATAAGAAAATCATGGTGATGAGGGAGGACTATCACAAAGAAAATAATTTGTATCTTTACAAGACACATAATCACCCTTAAAAGCCTATTTGAGAGTTTATTTTGATTAATGATTAAAACGCATACAGGAGCAGGTTACATTGCACTTCATTCCAATGTGACCACAGAAGTTTATGGAGAGTACTCCTGTGTGCATGAGTGTGTGGGCGGAAGGATGGACTAGTCTACTCCCAAGTATCAAGGATTTTCTTGTAAAACTAGGGAATTCCAGAACAAAATATTTGTTTGTGATTGGTATACTCTTTCGAAATTGAAATCTGGGAGGTGAAACAAAATACCACCTACCTGAAGTAGATAAAGGGATGTGCATTCTTGGGAAGATAGGTACTGTACACGGCTTCTATGGCCTTCCGTAGACTGCTGGAGTCAACCAAACGATCTGAAGTAATGATAAAAATAAAGGTAAAAGTAGACAAATAATACACAGTTGTGAATGCGTTGGGGCAATACGGCGCAAGATGACAGTATTTACAATGGTGTCAAAGTCATCGAGGCGCACCTATGCTCATTTACGGGCAGTCGATATTAAGGGTTATATCAATCAGAATATTAAAGAGAAATGTATAGACATAATGCACTATATAAATGTAATTTATGATTATTATTATTATTATTTTTGAAATGCATGTTAACATACAGATGAAATTGTCTGGATCACGATAAAATGTTCCCAATACGATACAAATAAACAGTGATTTTTTTTATATCATCGACAAAAATTGTGATTACGCTACCTGAGAAGCTAACTTACGGTTGATGAAAAGCAGAAAGATAAGCCTCTTGACCGAGTAGTTTGCATTTGATACTTGACCACTCAATTTGAAACCCAAACCGCTGTTCTCATGGTTGATTTCTAGAAGTTCTCTGTGACACGTGAAAGAATAATCAAATAAAAAACATGATTCTAAAATTTAATGTTAGAGATTTGAGATGACAGCCCTAAATTAGTCAAACAGGGGCCAGGTGAAAAGTTCTTGACTAAATTAAAATTTGAAGATGGTTGACATGATAGGTTTACTGCGGAATTTTGTGAATCATAATTCAAATGATGAATGATACTGCATTTATTCTGAGGACCCATCTCATGTCAGATGCGGGTCTGAGGCCAGACTGAGGCTAGACAGTTTTCATTTTGATTACTCCATCCCGCACAAAACTAAGGCGGGTCAGTCCTGTCTTGCCTTCAGCCTGCACAAAACTAAACCACCTTTGGGGGTACTTGGTACTTGGTACTTGGTTGGGTAATCCCTTTGACAGCTCACTCAGGAAGCTATACTGGGATGGTAGGTGAGGCGAGTAACTACAAGGAGTGTCATAAATTGCAGGAGGTGATGAAATGCAGCACGGACGGACATACGGATGGACAGACGGATGGAGGAACAACCCCAAAACATTATGCCTCCGATGACGGAGGCATAAAAATGTCCACCACTAATATCTTTCAAGAGATCCATGGTTTAAGAGGCTTAGAGTACATATAGTTAAACATGATAAGGAATGGGCTATTAATTGGCAGTTTTCATTCATCAAAAGAGTTCATCAATGATTTCAAAGTTGAATGATAGACAATGATGCTACATTACCTTGCTACAGTAGGGCCAAATACAGATCGAATGTTATCAACCGTCGATGCATTCTGGGAAGTCCGCACATCAGCTGTACTCTCTCCTGACTGTTAACAACGAGAAAAAAACAGATAAGTGAGAATTAGTGTCATGGAAAAAAAAGAAACTCCAAAAATAATAAATCGACTGTTGTAATGATATGTACTTCACAGTAAAGTGAAAGCAAATGTCACATCCCAGTTTGTATTATTTGGTAAACATTATCATTCTGCAGTGAATAATAGTGGACAATTTTTTCTCTTTCTCTACTTTTGTATATACATGGAATAAATGAATTTTTTTTTATCCCTTTAATGGAATAATCCCCCACCCCCACCCCTAACCCCCCCCCCAAAAAAAAAAAAATTAAAAAAAATCAATGGCTCACCTTAGGTTCTGCAATATGAACCTTAATTTTACTTTCATCGACAGAATGACAAATATTTCCCGAACAATTTTTAAGTGAAACATAGAATCAAAATTCATATTATCCTCCAAAATAAAATGTAATAATTGTTTTATCTTAATTTGACAGTAGAGAAAGGATGAATTCACATTAACCTTTTTGAGAGTGAAAGCTACCCCAGCATTATGAATGGCATATCTTGAGACCACCTCCGAGATCTTGTTATGTTCCTCACTTGCACTCTTCAGAGCCTTCCTCCTTGTAGCTACGTTGTAGAACAGATCCTCTACCTACAGAAAAGCAGTCAAATAATTATCTTCATGATAGAAGTGTCGCATGGTCGAGTGGATCTGTCACCGGACTGTGCATCACAAGGTCCGTGGTTCAAGTCCCACCGCGGCCATAATGTCCTTTGGGAAGACATTGATCTACATTTGCCACTCTCCACCCAGGTGTTAAATGGGTACCCGGTAGGACGCGAAAGTTAATGTGGTTAGATGAGCAAGGGTGCACTTGTAAAAAGGACGCCTGGCTGGAATGCTCCCCAGGGAGTGGAAAATGTGCATACATTGTGTGCGGGTAAGCCTGAATCCGATGACCGGGTAAAAATAAATCTGTAAAGCGCTTTGAGAGGGCCTGCGGTCCTGAAAAGCGCTATAAAAGAACAAACTATTATTACTATTATTATTATTATTATGATTATGAAAGAGTTTCATCAGGACGGTTGTAATAACGATTTTAAAGTTCTTTTATCATATCCAAAAGGATAAAATGCTCGCCTGACAACATGAACCAGGATGGGTGTGCATACCAGCTGTCTGACATATATACGACGCAGTAATCGCCAAAACGGCAACCACACTGGCGAATCGTAAAATAGGCAGCTTACTTCAGTCTGCCAATTCGCGTCTGAGGAAGATGTCTGAACTCTAGACATCAAAACTGTTACAGGAAAATTCTCCTTTTGGATGTGATAAAAGAAGTTTAAGATAATTATCTTCATGATTTAACTAAACAGACCACAAAGAGATCATGGCAGGAAAGATGTCCCACCTACAAAAAATATCCACGAATCTTCTTCCTGATTTAAATCGCTTTATTCATTTATGACTGAAACAGTCATTCCGCAGTGTATGCTAATTTGCATCTTTTTATTAATTTTTTTCTCAAACAATAAACAAATCTTATCAAATACTAGTATTCTAGTCAATCAAGAATAACTTGACCTGCAGGTGCTATTCTAATGGTTAGATCACCGTTAGTAAAGAAAGGATTTCAGTCTACTCACTGTTATCTGTGTGCCTCTGTTACCAGCGCAAGGTTTGATAGCTGCCTTCAGTTTACCATCCGAGAAGTTTCCCCTAAAATCATCAACAGATAAGAATAGATTACAAGATTCTTGGACGCTAATCATTTATCAAAAACAAACACATCAAGTAACAAGTCTCCCAGATTGATATAGTATGCATTTTGATTAATACATCCTTTTCACTCTAGGAGCAAATCAATGATTGTATTTGTTTAAAGATTTGTTACCTTTCATTTTAATGCTTAAGCACTTAAACCTTTTTTTTTTGTAGAAATGAAAAAAAGAATTACAGGATACTGCATTATTTTGTGTATATATGTGATACAAGACAAATAAGTTTACATGCAGATATTTAAAAAAAAAAAATCTTCCCAAAGAGTGGAACTAGGCTCGACTAGCACTTGTGCTAACTTCTACTTCATATGAAAAAACTTCACCTGAATATCAATAATACACATACACATACATTTATTTGTGTTTATATTGGTATGCAGATCTATGTCAAAATATGGTTTTAAAGCCATTACTGTTCAGTGACATTACTCTTTCTTTATGTATCATCATTATTCTTTGTATTGTATAAGTTTTTGTATAAATTAACTGTCATTAATGTGATGTGTTGTTGTTAATAAATTTAATCCAATTCAATTCAATTCAATTGATTATTTTAACCCTAAACTCTTTTAAATGATGTACATACAGCTGTTGAGGGCCAGAAGAGTGTAAAATATATGAGTTAATGCCCTTCTAGCTCTCTGTATTCCTTGTATCTGTCTCCCCTGTCTGTCTGTCTCTCTCTCTCTTTCTTCATCTTTAAAAGTTTATACCGGTCAGTCTACATCTAGGTCTGTCTCCCCACACCCTCTCCCCAAATCCATTCAAACTTCTCTCACTCCATGTATCCATCTCTCTCTCTCTCTCTCTCTCTCTCTCTCTCTATCCCATTATTTCTCAGGCCATTCCTCTACACTACTACTTACTTGTAAGCACATTTTGAATCCTCTGTTCTTGTCACTATGGTAACATGAGCAACATGACTGATGCTAGCCAATGCCTGTAGGAAAAAAAAAAAAATCAGGTTTTAAGTCAGGAAAAATAATATTCCATTTGTGTAGTTCTTGGTCAAAAAGCATGATTAGAAAAAACAGTAAATATGAACAGAAGTAGATATCGTTTTATCATTATAATCCTGTTATACTACTCCTAATGATTAATTTAAAACTATATTATCTTTTGCTAAAATTAATTGAATGCATTTTGATGTTTATTGATTGGGTTTGTAAATTGTGAGCAATTCAGTCCAGGTTTTCCAATTTGCAAATTCATTAAACCATGAACACACATTAAATCAATAAATTAATAATTTGAATAATGAACGAATGGAAGACGAACCTCTCCTCTGAATCCATATGTACTGATGCTTGTAAGGTCATTAAACTCTCTCAGTTTGCTGGTTGTAAACCTCTCGCAGACAATGTCCATGTCATCTTTCTGTTTAAGAAAAGACAGATTGATGACAAAAGTGAAATGAGACAGAAAATTGTAATTTATCTTTTTGTAAAACTTTTTTTTTCTACCTTCCTTCCTCATCTATCTCTCTCTACTTCTTTTCTCCTACCTCTCTTTCTCTCTCCCTTTGTTTTCTTTCTTTATGTTTGTCTATCTTTATATATATTTTTCAATTATTCACTGTCATTCTCTTTTTGTAAAGCTATTTTTTCCCATCCTTCCTTCCTCACCTGTATCTTATCTATCTCTCTCTACTTCTTTTCTCCTACCTCTCTTTCTCTCTCCTTTTGTTTTCTTTCTTTAGGTTCGTCAATCTTTATATATATTTTTCAATTATTCACTGTCATTTCTTTACTGATGTGTTTCCATCTCCTCACCTTCAATCTCCCTGCCTCTCTCCCTCCCTATCTCTCCTTCTCTCCCTTTAATTCCCTTCCTCTACTTTTTTTCCTGTTAATATCAAACTAATAAACAGATTCTTCCTCTACCTAAAATTACAATAAACCAGATCAACATATCTATGGACTCTATGTACATCATATGTTGCATTGTAGATGAGTTATTATCTTGTGGAGTGGGGTACAGTCAAATTAATGAAGCATACTTTTTCAATTCTTTTGTTGAGAGGGGACAACCAGATTAGGAACTGACTCAGAGAGGAATTATCTTTGATGGTAGTTGATGATTATTTTTCCCAACTACTACTAAAGCATGTATATGCTTCTAATTAAGCAACCAGGGGACTGACGGCTTTAAGTTCTCTCCGAGGGACTTGGTAGTGAGGATTAATGCCATACCAAAGGGCATGAGCGCATTGACTTGGTTAAGAACCAGCGACCTCTTGCTTACAAGACCACTGCTCTACCACTGAGCCATTGTGCCTCCTCTTTATGGTCAAGCTGTTGAGATGACTCAACAATCTATCTTTCTTTTCTGCAATATCTGTTTCAATCCTTTGTTTGATATTAACAAATGTCAAAACTACCTTGAAAGTTGGAAAAAGATAATGAAATACAGTCCTAGTCTGGTCACATTGTGTGCCAACAATAAGCTATGTAGTCTATACTAACCCTTATACCAGTTCCATTGTCTTGTATCTGAAGTAGCTTCATCCCTCCTGATTTGACAGTTACTTGAATGGAGGTAGACTTAGCATCCAAGCTGAAATTGAAAAGTCAAAAACAAATTACAACCTTAAAATAACATTGAAAATGTCAAACCATATCCACATGCATATAGATTTATATGAAAAATGAAAGTCTCAAATCAATGTACACCAACATAAAAAAGGATGTTAATAAATCTATTCAAAATACTAATGAATTTGAAATGATTTATCTTCATACATTTTGCCCAGGAATCTGTCATCTAGGCATTAGAGGTTAAAGAACTTGCTTTTCTTTGTTACACATAGTAAAAACAAATACAAAATAATATATTGAAAACATGTGCTGGATTAGTCTAATTACAGCCCTTTCTTATGCAATATGGGAGTAGTACAAATGTGTGTTACTTCAGAATATTGCTATCTAGATATCAATGTCAACTGTAGGCAAAACTGATGATACATAAGTCGCTCTTGAAGTGTACTTTGCAATCTTACAATGGATTCATTTACCAGTTTTCTATCATTTCTTTGAGGGCGTTTGCAGGCCTTTGAATCACTTCCCCTGCCGCTATTCTGTTCACTACTGTCTCATCCAACTTTCTGATAGTCCCAGCCATTATAAGCTATGCTGCTTTTTCTCTAAAGATAAAGATGTTGGGTTGAAACATTGATGTTGTGCCGGTAAAGATGGTACATGTAGATGGAGCTCCACGTCTTGAAAACTTAGACTGTTCTGTTTTGGGAGATATTGAATGTTGAATTTATGGAAAAAAAGAAAACAGGTTATTTCATCAGTTTTACATTACAACAACATTTTAGTATAAAATGCCTGTCAAAGTTTGAAGAGTAGTCATCAATTTATGTTGTGGCTCATTTAATGCAAACAAGTTAAATGATTTAAACAAAATAAATTAGAGGAATACAGGGGGAGCTTGATTAACACTTTTGTCTTTAGTTTTGATGCTCTTTATAATCTCAAAGTGATTTTTCTAAATATATATCTGCACAAAAAGTACGAAGATACACCAACAACATGGTGGCCTGTACTTCAACAGAAGAAGAAGAAGGGTCTACCTCAAGTTTAGCATACAGTTGAGTTATTTTTCAAACTCAAAATTCTGATTAATTTTCTCCTGTCATGATCATTTACTTCCAAAAGGCAGTTTCAAAGGTTCAGGAATAATAATCTAATAATTGCAACAAAACTTCCTCCCCATTTTGAAATAATTTGTCAATTTTTCTCCCAAGCTGGCAGCTAGCCAAAGGCAAAACAGGGTGGTGATCAGCTAAAATGTCATTTTTCAAGATGACAAGATTCAAGAAGAAAAATGTTGATTTCTGATCCACATTCTCTAATTTCCCACTAATGTCTAAATGATCATATCATCATCGATCGAAGTCAACATAGTAATCTCCTCCTCAAAACAAACACACAAAACAGTCAAAGCAAACAAATGATCAGTGATCACACATTTTTCAGTACGTGGGACCGGGATGTAGATACCTGTTCAAACTACGCGCGGTAAAATACTCACAGAGGGATCACTTCCGATGTAAACATTTCAGAACATCAATTTTCCCAAGCGAAAATATATTTTATCAATAAACACCACTTTCTAACTTACAGCATTCTGGAACCATATTATTCCAAATTTTCACGTCGTGGCTGCTTTGGATACACTAGATATCAAAATATGCTTAAAATAGCGAAAATATGATTGCCTGTCGGAGACCTTTGCAGAGATTATTGCAGCGCAGATTCACATCCGGGATTGGCTCGCAAGGTTAACCCAGAATTCCCAGCCGTAACCTTCGTAATATGTTGATGTGCATCACATAGTTGTGCATAGACTTACACGCAAATTTAGCCCGGCGTTTAGTGCGCCTACACACAAGAGTGACTTTACGTAGGCTAGCAGACTGGGCAAATCGAATTGGATCGCTGTACGACCACCTCACCGTACGAATCCCATGCACTGCCCGTCTACGTTATCTTGCTTGTTTTTCTCGCGATATATTCCAAACGGGCGATGGATAGGTGGAATGTATATCGTGGAGATATGGCAATTTCTTGAGGAACAATCGTGGAGAAATTAAGCAAAATGAAGCGTCTTGTGAGAGTGCTGGACGGGCTCACGGCGGGGGTGGGATCCAGCTCCTCTCCGAAAGATTCGGATGTTGTGGAATCTCTATCACAGGAGCACTTCAACATATGCAAGGTGGGTGAAACGATTTCTACTCCATCCTTCGCAGGTGGTTGTAGGCTAGCGCACATACCGTATGTGCCCCGCTGGTATACAGTGTGTGTATGCCCCATTATGTGTAGCACAGTCACGGGCGATAGATCTGTCCACTGACTTTCTACACGGAATCAATCTCGTAGAATTTTAGGTGCATATTTAACATATTTAATGAATTTTAGATACATAAAAGTGATAGCTAGAAAGATAACATCAATATTATGCTATTTTGATTTCTTTCAAACATACTATTTTCCCTTTAGGTCTACATGATCACATAAAGGAAGGATGCTTACAGTTACAATAACAAACATCTTTATTTTTATTCTTACATGCCAATTTATTCTTTATGATTAATGGGGATGAAAAAGTTTTCCCCAGCAATTTTATATAGCCTGCTACAGTACTAAAGGCAAAGCCCAAACGAGGTATTGGATCACAAAGAGATGCGTCTGCAATGCAAAATGCAGTATGATGTTGGTTAATTATAGTAAGAAAGCTAAGTTATTCTACTTTTCTAGATAACCTTGCTCCTCTTTTGATAATGAATTATAAGCCAGCTAAAGTACACCCAACATTACATGCAAAGTTCTGCCTATAATAACGAGGCCATGATAGAAAAGTAGATTGTATATGAACTGTTGCAATGTTAGGCATGTTCCAAACTTGCCAAGAAAGATGAGATGTGTCATGAAAGGTTATTTTTTTATCAATTCCAAATCCAAGCTGTTTACAGGTCTTGTCAGGAGTAACAATACTGCAGGGCATAAAGAATAAATGCTTATTAGAATTATGATCTTTTCAACAACAAAAAATCAATGATATTAAACAGTTTTTAATTTGTAATAGATTGCTATTGCTAACACTGCCTTGCCGGTGCTGGCATTACAGAAAAACCATTTTTCTTCTTATGATAAGAGGAGATCTCCGATGGGTCTTATATATACTGGTATATCAAAATATATAATAATCAATATATTTAATTGCTCATTTGAGATCTTTAAAGGAATCCCAGAGCTGATTTACTCTCTACTTTGGTGCTTTTTAGCTCACATTAGCCAAGGTGTGTTACATTTTTATTTTTTTCCTCAAAAATACAAGCCCAAATTTTAACCAAACTTGGTAGCAATCATCCTTAGGCAAGGGTTATCTAAAGTTGTACAAATGGGATAGGTTCTCCCCAAGGGTGGCCTAGGGTTAGAGCCTCCAAAGTTCCTCAGTGGCAGTAATTGGACATTTTCTTCTTCTTCTTCTTGAAAACCCATGGCTGGAATCTAACAAAAAATTGTAGGAATCACCTGCAGGAAAGAGAGATCAAAAGTTGTTCTAATGGGGAATATGCCCCCAAGTGGGCTTTCGGGCAGCATCCCCCAAAGTGCCCCTATGGCAATAATTATAATTTGTTTACTTTTTCTTTAAAATTCATGTATAGATTTTGACTAAACTTGATAGGATGCATTCCTTAGGCAGGGGTATATGAAGTTGTTCTGAAGATCTATTGACTCCTCCAAGGGCAAAAGGTTTAAGAGTTGCAACCTCCCCCCCCCCCCCCCCCCACCCCTACCAAAAGAATTCCCCTTGTTAACATTTTTGATTTATCCTCAAGAACCCATGGGTGGATTCTAGCCAAAATTAGTAGGGACCACCAGCAGGAAAGAGAGATCTTAAGTTGTCCAAATGGGGGTATTTGCCCCCCCCCCTTAAGGGGCTTTGAGGCAGCTTTAATATCTACCATCCAAACGGCAATGCGAGTGTGGCAATGTTACAAACTTATGCTTGCATGCGCAAATCTTGAAAATTGTTGAGAAATGGTTTTTAAAATAGTTCCCCATGAATCAAAGAAATCTCTTTAAAATGCATGGTTACCCTCATTTTTATTTTATTTTTTATTCTGATAGATCATGAAGTGTAGATATAATTACTTACCAAAATATAGGTATGGATTCTGGCTAAATATTATAGGAATCATTTTTTTATGTGAAGAAGACCTACCATTAAATGTGTTTGAAATGTGATACCTGCCCCTGCAGGAAACTTGAGAGCAGCACCCCTAAATTGCTTTACTGTTCCAATAATTTCTATGTTCCTGGTGCAAAGGGGAGGGAGCTAGGTTCCTTATTACAAGGCCCCTTCTTTCTTCGGCTCAGGTGAGAGTTAGGTCCGCAGGCCTCTTGTTTTCTGTATAACATTGATTTATTCTTGCTACTATCCTTTCTCTCTCTCTTGTTCTGATTGTAGGTTGTTCGCCATGGATTCCCGTTTGAACCGACCGCCATGGCATACGACCCTGTACAGCACATTCTGGCCGTCGGATCCAAGAACGGATCAATGAGAATGTATCCTTTCTAAACTTGTTTACCCCCCCCCCCCCCCTCCCCAGGGGCTCCTGCCCAGTCAAATACTACCAGTATGGCATTTACATGTAGGTGGCCCAAAACATGCCCATTTCTTGTGAAAGAGACCCTATAATATTTTGTATTCTCATCGATATCATGGAACAGACTGTTTTTGTCAGATTTTTTTTTTCGTTTTTGTGGACACCCTATGATTCTTTTTTGGCTATTCCCCCCCCCCCCCCTTTTTGCTATTTTTCCCCTTTTTTCTCCCTCAAATTTTGACACCCAATTTTGAAATCCTGTCTAATCCTGCTTTATATCCAGTTCCAATCCACTTCCAATATGCCTAGTGCTGCCCCCACCCCAAAATGATTGGTTAAATATTTCTTGTTTTGCTCATTTTTTTCATTTTATTGTTGTTATTTGTTATATATATTTGGAAGGTGTGAATAATGCTATGTTAGATCTATCAACAAGTTTTGATGAATTTGTCACACTGTATTTTTTGTATTGTGGCACTAGTCATAATTCTTTATACTGTAGCCTTTAAAATTGTACTTAAACACAAATTGGTATAACATGTACTGCCTGATTTGCAAGGGTGACTAAATAACATCGTTTTACATGTATCAGATAAAGCAACCCCCCCCCCCACCCCCCCCCCCCCCCAAAAAAAAAAAGTTAAGTTGATGCAAGTATGAAATGATAAATTATTAGCACCCTGTCTAAAATTATTAAGCCTGTGATATTATGCTACCATTCATATATTTATTTGTGTTTGTGAATATATTATGAATTACCAAATTGTGATGTGAATGATGTGCTATTGTTGATTATTACATGTATGTACCTTCTGGGCTTCAATGAGGTAAGTACATACAAAAAATGAACGCAGGAAACATATTGATATGTCTGTAATGTATATCCATCTATCTGTATAATATGTATAAAACTGAAATTAAATAAAGAGAGATAGAGAGAGAGAGGGGGAAAGAGGGTTTAAGATGGAGAGAGAGAAAGATAGATTTATAGAAAAAGAGATGTGTGTGTGTAGGAAGTGAGAAAGAGTATGTGTGTGTGAGAAAGAGAGAGAGAGACAGAAAGAGAGAGACAGAAAGATTGCAAGAAAAAATACAAGGACATTAGTAGGTATTTATAGATAAATAGAGTTTGAGAGAGTAAGAAAGAGAGAGTAAGAAAGAGAGAGAGAGAAAGAGAGAGTCTTTAATTAATCAGAAATCACCACTCAATAGAGTCATTTGAATATATCAAAGTAATTAATGTAATTACATGCATCGCAGTGGGTTAAAAATAGAATCGGTATGGAAAAGAAAACCCGCCAAGAATGAGCATTCACAGAGAGAAGGAATGAAAGGGAAGGACAAGTAATCTAACGTAAGATTGGGGTGCGTGTAGGGACTGCAAGGGTTATTATGATTGCATGCATGTGATAATGGCTCCCATGATATAGAGGGAGGATGGGGGGGGGGGGGGGGGGCTTTTACTGTAGTGTTCATTACTTGCTGCACACTGTATGGTAGGAGGAAGGAGAGAGACTTGTAGTGCTCATTGTAATTATGGACATCTGTTCGTAGATTTATGGTGTTTGCATGGCTTGATACAAAGCTATGATATTGGAGCCTTTTGATATTTTTATCTCCAACCCCAAAATGTTGGCCCTTTTTCCATTATTTTTTACAATGTCTTGAAAATTATACTGCTAAGTATATAAAGAAAGGTACACATAATGCCCAAACAGGGAAATGATATCCATGACTATTGTCAATGAGATCAGCACATCATAACATTTATATTAAAAAATTTAGTCAGTAATATACATGATTTTTCATTCATTTCCTATAGCCCCAGAAAATAGATTAAAGCAGTCCTCTTGACTGTCTAGATTAGCTTGTTCTTTGGGCCCTTTTAGCGCAACTTCGGGGCCCCTGTGGTCTTTTGCAGGTTTTAATTCATCCCATATTTCTTTGTATTTTTCATATTGGGTTTTCTACACCAAATGAACATTTTCAGCCAAAGTATATGTTCTGAAATGCATACAAACGCTGGTGGGCCTCTAAAACAAACCAAACTTTGGGCAGCATAAGGCAGTCGACATCACTATTAGCATTAAATTTTTCTTTAAAAAAAAGGGATCAACTCTCCCTGTCGGAGCCGCCTGTGTACCTACTGTAACTAACAAGGGCATTTGCTTAAATCTTTTTACTTAGATTACCAGCAGGGCAACCTAGATGATTGCTTAGGTTGCCCAAGTCAACTTTTGATGCTTATTTATTCCACTTGACTACACCAAAATCACATTAATCCAACAGTAATACAACTAATAACGGTATATTTTTTAGTTGCCACCTGTTCAACAAAGGCAGAAGTATTACTTGCTGTGCAAGGTTTTAGTTGATCAATGACCCTTGGGCAACTGCCAACTCCTTGCCCTGTAACCACCTGCCCAGGGGGGTGTTTCACAAAGATCCTAAGTTGAACTAAACTCTAAGTTGGACTTAAAAATTATGGAGAGCCATTTGCAGCCTTAAAATAAAATATATTCAAAAGCGAAATATCAAGTATTCTAGATTTTTCATAAATTCCACATCAAGAACATGCAATCTCCTTGATAATCGAAAAATATGAATGATTTGAATCAACATTTTATGCCTTTCAAAATAACTTTTACAAATATTTTCAAAGATGCTATCTGCTTTCCATAATTTTTAAGTCCAACTTAGAGATAAGTTCAACTAAGGATGTTTGTGAAACAACCCCAGGTGTAGTAGTTCTAAGGATGGGTTTGTTTTGATAGGGATAGTGGAGAGATAGTGGCATCATGCTCATACCTTAATTGATGGGTGAACTTTGACATCCAGGGCCCATGTTTGTTTTGAAATTGAGAGTACACCAGATGGTGGAAATTCACAATAATATTGACAAATGTCTGGACCTATTAATAGTGCCTTGTTAAAAACTAGATTTGGATCTCCATATCTGTGTTATTAAAGCTTAGTTTTTAATTGCAAACGAAACATGATAGTGGAGATATGTGTTGAGGCTTCTGAAATAATTATGAACGTGTTTATAAAAACAGTACGTAAGATTTCAGTCCTTAATAAATAGTCTAATTTTCTTTTTATAGCATTTAATATGAATAACTACTGATGAGCATGCTTTACAAATCAGTATTTGGTTAATTCTCTGATTCGTCTTATAGTAATAATGAAGTGTGTATCTGGAAGATAATGCCTCAATTTAGCAGATATAATCGCTAACACCTCTGCCTCTGTCTCCTGTTATTTCTTTCATTTTAGGATAGACCAAGTTGCTTCCTCTTAGGTTAACCTCATGTTGTGTATATTATCGGGGCAAAATTAAATCTGTTAATTATACATAACTGCACTGAATTCCTCACTCTATACAAGAGATCAGATCGTATGATATACATGTACTGTAAATACCTCGTAGCATAAGTTTTGATGGAGAAATATGGAAATTACAGAAATTACTTGTATTTGGTATGTTTGTAGTTTAAGTAAGAGCAAAATGTCTTGTATTTCAGCAAACAAACCATTATTTTTATGAAGTGTTGAAATGTAAGCTTAGTAAGATCAGTCACTGCGCTGCAATTTTTTTTTTATTGACGTGTTTCTGGATATCTTAAAAAGGTAATTTCATACCCACAGGCAAAAAATACTTAATAACTATTCCTCAAGATCTCCCCGGAAAAAACGCACAAACTATTTGCAGTCTTATTTGCAATTTATATGCCACAATGAGAAAGGAATCTATCTGCACCAAACATTCTAAAGTCTGCAGATATCCTGTACTAGACCAAAGAAACTATTCATCTTCGTAAAGAAAAGGAACCATATGGCATTATTTATGTGAGTAAATACCTCAACCTCAATTGATTTTATTCTATATTAGATGAATAATTTTGATTAGAAAGGAATTAGTGCTAAAATATTCAAAATTTAAAACATTCATGGTAACTGATCTGTTTTTGGTAAACAAGTGAAATTCTACATTTCACAATGTTTTAGCAATTTGTTCCAACACAATTTTGTTTTCCTTTGAGAAGACATCTATAGTAGATGACAACATGTTCTATCCTTTTTTGTTTAGTCAAGAATGTTCTAACAGTAGATTTCACATATTTAAAAAAAAGCCAGTAGTTGTGAACAAAATGTGTTCTTAATGACCCCAGATCTTTGCTGAGGCTACTCAACTTAGCAACAACCAATTAATGCAAGGTGGTTTCTTTACCTAGGAATGCTCTCAATATTTTACAAGAGGTGGTTCAAAAGCTTTTCATGTTTGTTGTATAAAGTACATCAATGAATATAAACATTTATTTTAAACCTCTTCTCACGTTTACACATAATTATTTTATCTCTTACTTTCTTGAGCATTAGATTACCTTTTTTTAAATGAGGAGATCTTCAATCGAAATGTTAGGGTGTATGCATCAGCCCCCAAATAAAGTTTTGAGGATTTGAGCTCCAGAAAAGATATAGTGTGAGTCATTATGAGTACGGACATAGTTTAATTCAATAACGAATCAGGGGTGTAAATAAGTATTATGAATTTTGCAATCTTGGGTAGTCTAAAAACAGCATTATTTGGGGAAATCAAATATGAAATAGATACATCATAAGTCATGCCCTATGAAAAGTTTCTCTAAATACTATTATGATAATGGTATATTTTTATAGAAGTGCTTGCATTGAGGCCGACTTGTACACTATTATTTATGTAATGGTAAAAGTTAATCTTATGAACTCTGCTGAATGTGGTTAGAACAAATTCACATAAAGAGGAGTAAACATAATAAACATTACCTCCTTCTCAAGTTTCTCAACACTGAATTGAGTTGCACACTATCAGTGCTTGAATGGCAGAGAGGGGCAGTTTAATAATCAAGAGGGGGGAAATGAAACCCCTGGATGAAATATTTGCTTGCATCATCTGCTGACAAACTAAACTAGGTCTTGATGCCTTCAAGTCAAACCATAGA